TTTTACATCATCAAGAGGCAGATTCAGATGGTAACGTTGAAACAAGTCTTTTTAAAGTAAGTAGAGTGTATGAAGAGTATAGTGATGTATATCTTTTGAAAATAATTATTTAACTATTTCACATCAAAAGAACCCAACATCAATTTGTTTATAATATCTGTAGATAATTTCCATGTGATAAATCATCAATAACAAAAAGTATAGAGAAATCTATTAACGACTATTATTCGATACACAATAACTAGTTATGGTTGGAGACTGGGTGACATGACTCAGAATCGATCACGATGGCGTAGGTGTATACACTTTATCTTCCTTTAAGCTATGAGAATAAAATCGCTTCATATTTTTCTTTCTACCAACCAATTCTTTCTTCCTGTACTATGTCCTTAAATACAATCTTTCTTTTATGTATTGCCAACACTGAATTAACTGCTATGAATTTGGTGTTCGTCTTGTGCTAATGAATTGTGGCAACTTGGACCGATGCATATATGTGCTGGTCCTACGTTGTAGCTGACTGACTGAAGTAGTTATCATTACTCAGTGGTATTGTAAATAACGAAGCGATTTTTTTGGACATATCTATTTTGATTTTTATAGAAATTGTCTAAATAATCATTTCTTAGCTATGGCGAGTTTTTGACAATTTGGTCGTTAAGTGTTTTTATGGGAAAAAGAGTAGTATGAAAGCAAGCTGCGGTATAGGCTAGAAGTAAAATACACAACCAAATAATTATTTGTATTGGGTTTGCGGAATGTGTAAGGTGTACGGCTTTAAATGTACAAGACAACGACCATTACTTGATGCTTCTAACTAGCAGTTCATGGTAGGGTGCAGTTGTTTTCTTTTAAGTGCTTTCGCTTTCCGTCAGTTCTCAAGTTATCATTTGTTATTCCATCCACCTGAAGGATTTTATATCCCATTAATTTTGACAATTTCATGTGCTTATTCCTTAGTGGTAGTGCAAAACATTAGTTTCATTTTCTTTATTTGTAGGGTGCCATTATTCCTACTGCTGGTGGCGGTTCGGCTGTTGTTTTTAATGATGTAGAAGTTTTACGTCAATCTTCTCCAGGCCGCGAACAAAGGTATATTGTTGTTACATTATTGTTTTATTAAGATTCTTGCTAAGAATTGGATTTTCCTGAAGTAATATTATATCTATTTTTATCCAGAAAATGTGTTCACTTGTGGATCTGACTAAATATGAAATACGATGACTGTAAATATTATAGTTTTCAGTAACCCGTTTATCCAAACATATGACCGTATAATCTTAAGTTTATAAGTCCAAGTTTTCAGTACAATCAGAGCATTCGAAGAAAGTCGTGTAGTCTCGCTTACAAACTACTATACAGATTAATTCACTTTATATGGCATACATCCAACTTAGTATCTGCCTTCACCCTCGCTGATCGGTTATAGTAATGTTTTTGTGTACTCGTATCAACCTCCAACCTGGATAGTATAATTTATGGTCTCTGCTCATCTTTACGTGGATTAGGCGGGTGCGTTCCTACATACGAACTGTCAAATACATCCACCTTACACCTCCAAAATGCGGTCAAATCCTTACTGCTCCAGTTCTTAGAAATGATCAGTAGTTGATTGTGTTGACTCGATTTCAGTAGTATATTCTAAAGGTAGTGGCTTTAAAGAGAATTAGAAGATATTTATGCGTTAATTTAGACTACCTCCTTAGATTAAAAATGAAATAAAGTGTTTCAGTAAACTTAGCAGAGTAGAGGCTTAACTAATGGGAAGTTATGTTTTAAAACTGATGATGACCTTTAATTTGGATTCTACGCTGATCCAGGTTCCCCACTACTGTAAACATCCCGTTAAGATTTAAATTGTGTAAGTTCTTTACTTCTATTTATAGGAAAAGTAGTCGCTCCAGAGGCGCTGATGCTCGTTTGAAACAAGTTATATGCGAAACTTCTCGTCGATCAGGGATAAAACGTCGCTATTCTAATTCACCGACAAGAAGACCTTCTAATGAATCTGTTTCAACACATAGTTCTCAAAGCACAATGGCATCGGACTATTGTCCTATGAGTCCATCTATAGAAAAAATCTCAACAGCTTATAATGATGCTAAATGTTATATTGGCATTGACTGTAATGGAGGAATAGGCTTACGAAAGTATGTTCTTTTTTAAGTTTTAGATCTATATTGTTTTTCTCCAAACTATATTTCGTGCACTTTAAACTCAGAGGTCTATGATTCTATGGTTCTTAGAATAGTTCTCTGCTATAGTTTTAAAAGATAATACATGTTCACGCGATACACATAGTTCGCATTTGATTGGATAAACTTTCTAGTAGTTACTCTACTATACTGTTTTATGTGCTATTCATATAGCTATAATCATGGACATGTATTTTAAACTCGATTGTGCAGTAGTTACTTATTTCGTGGTGTGAGCTACTTATATTGACATAAGTAGTATATAACGCGCGTCAAAAGAGCGTAAGGTCTGGCAGTAGAAGATGGCGAAGATCAAGAAAGGTAGAGCGAGAACATAATGGAATCTGTAAGAAAACCTATGAACAATGGAATGGCAGACAATGGATTGGTGTTTGCAACAGAAACAGTCTGGTTTGATTTGATACATGAATATTTTGCAAATTGACGATTTAATATATGGTATTCAGATATTGTTGAAATAGACTGTAATTGTTGTGCTAAATACATCTGTTTGTCCTCACCCATGTTCTTGTTCACAACAATTTTTGCGTCCCACTGACTGTAAACCGTGACGCGTAATAAAAGCAGCGCCCATTGGACAGTTTAGACTCAGAAAATTAGCTCTAACCAGATAGTCGTTAATAAAGCTGACAGTAAAAAGGAAATTACATTTAATTCACTGATACTACCTCTGCTATTCTGTCATCTGGCCTGACAATTTCATCTGTGTACTGATGGGATGTGGCAACTTGAACCGATGTACATACGTACCAGGTTCTGCGTTGTAACTGACATTTAATTCAGTTGATTGGAGTCATGAAGGAGACACTTTTAAGAACAATTTAACCGAACCTTAGATACACTCTTTTTGTTCACAATCCCTTGACAGCCTGAACGGGTAATCAGCATTAACATCCGACTCTTAGTGGCGTTGAAGTTTATAACAAACGCGAAGAAAGGAAAAGTGATCGGTTTTAATTACTGAACACCTTTAAGTATGGTGGTCCAGTTTTTCAGTTATATTTACTGAAATACTAGCCGGGGTTTGAGTGTTACACTGGTTGCCGTCTCTGAGCGTTCTTATTTCATAAGGAACTCAAACTCCCTAGTTATAATAACTGAAGTCATCTGAACAAATGAAATTTTTAAAAGATTGGATTCTATCGTTATCTTAATTAAAGCTCAGAAACACCATACCTGAAAAAACCAGACCTTATTCTGAGTGTAGCTATCAAGTCTGTGCAAAAATCGGCATATGGATGCAGAATTTTAGTCGTATTTCTTGACCTGAAGAATGAATTTACCTCATCAAATTCTAGGTAATGCATCAAAAATTTTCTGTATTAATACATTATTTAAAGATAAAGTGCAGTAATCCGTCGTATCACTTGAAAAAATAAACTCTGGTGAGTTATTAATTGACAAAACTGGCACAAGTTAAAGATGCGTGGAAAGAAGAATGACTTGTGAAAATTCAAGCATACGCGATCCAGCAGTTAATGTTGACTGGTTGTAACAAATTCAGAAACGTGTCTAACCTCTATTCGTTCGAAGAAACAACACGGCAGTAGAAAATTAATTATTCCTAATAAAAGGCCTTACACATGTTGCGTTAATTTCAGCAAAGAAAAGTAATAGTATATAAATGTTCCCCAAACTATTAATAATAATGTAGTCTACTGTAGTTTCCCGACTGTTAGCAGCAACTACCAAGTTAAATTATTTTTTGTAATATGATGTGAAAAATTTACTTTTCTTATTCTTACTTATTGTCTACCAGTTATTTCATTGTTTATTTATTTTTCCTTTTTTAGAAGGTCCAGATTGTAAAAAAGAACGTCGGAAGTAAAACTGATTACTTTTTTACTTGTTTATTTAATATTATATAAAAAAACTACTAACTTATCCATATTCATGTGCATATTTTTTGTTTTTACCCGTTAAAACTATTTATATTTTATTAGTCTTTTGTCATTGCTTATTTTTGACGTACTGTAACACTTACATCAGATTCCCTTATAAAATCAAATACACTTATTTTATAACTTTTCTCGAATCTTTTTTGTTTTTTAGTGGCAGATATTCGAACTTTGTTATGCGAATTACCACTTGCCTACTGGAACACTAGTGGCATTTAGATTACTTTTAGTGCCTTAGTAACACAAAACATGTCCAGCATCTGAAGTTGGTAAATGTGTTACTTAGTACGGCATGGAGTTAGAACATTGTGAACGTCGATGTAAACTTATCAACAGAATTCATAAGGCAGATAGCTTGCGTCACTAAATTCAGTAATAAAGTAAAAAGCGGCATTGGTAATACTGTTGATAAGAGTGGAATTTTAAAAAATTAATAGTAGAAAAAATGTCCTAAAGTACAGGTGGGAAGCTCAAGTTTGTCGATTGTTAATCGTGAAGGTGCAAAGACAACTCACGGAGAAACCTGTAAATATGACGACTACGCGGTAACTGGGTCCAGGCAGCATCTGTTCGTATTTACTGTTCGGAAGCCCCCCAACAGTATCTCGAATTCGATCTTCCTCAAAGTAAAGATAACTTCGAATGTAATCGTAAAGATGTTCTCGGAAAATGATCAGCCTATTAAGAGTGTTAAATTGGAGTGGCTCAGAGACCATTTCACACTGATACTTATCAGTTGGATTAAAAAGTCAAGTTCTACCCCGTACACATGATGCATCTGTACTGTGTAGAAGCTGTTCTGTTCTGTTCAGATTAAGTCTACGTTTTAAGACTCAACCTCAGCACTGCTAATTTTGTAAATCCGAGTAATATTAACGGTGGGTTGCACATGATAAAAACATAACACATTTTAGTGTTCTCAATATACAGAAAGATAACATTGATTTAAACAAACCTTATAGTACATGAATTTATTAACTACAGCAAAGGAATATATAAAACATGAAAGGCTTTTTCAAATAAATCTTTACAGTTTACTAAACAAGACAGAGTAGAAGATTATTCACAGAAGAGCAGTAAACACACTAGTAGATCGATGGCGTTTCAAACTTGGAGGACTTAACAAAACAGAATTAGGTTTAATCACATCAACTGGTCGTTTTTGCTGAAAAAAAATAAATATTGGGGTTCACTGTTACCATTCAGAGAAAAACAAAATCTATGAAATTTAATTAGTTATTATTTGATGGGATACGTGATTTTGGAGCTCCAGGTGAAGCGTATCTTTACGATGGAGACTATCCAATATGAGTTATTGCAATGCGAAGACATCGTAAGGTATTTTCTTAAATTCATATTAAGTAACTATGTTATGAAGAAAGACTAATCGAACTATTTAGCATATTTCGTAACTCAGCAGGTTTGTGCTTTTAGATAAAGATATACCTTTACTGACGCTGCCATTTAAGTTGAAATTTTAACAGTGAGCAGGTCGTTGCTTGTATTTGTGTCTGGAAATTTATTGTTGAAGCTATAAAAACTCATTACTTTACTTAGATTTGATTAGGCATTGATTTGTCTCTTAAGGAACTAGTGTTACGGTACTTGCATACGTAGTGGGCTGACTTATTTCAGATCGAAAAATTTGAAAAGGATAGCTAGGATCGAATAATGTAATCAGTTAAAGATGTCTAAATCATGAAGGTTTAGTTCCTGAAATACTAATATTACAATCTTACTACTCATAATATTAGATAACGGGAGTATTATATATTACAAGTCTTGATGCAGAATATTAGAGACATTTGGGAATGGTTAAAACTAGTTAAGTTAGTAACAGTAAGAACTGTACTTATATATGAAGATAAAAACTGTTTCTCTAGCAATGTCGATACAATGAAGTAAAGGTCCGCAGCTGCATTTATTGTCTGGAGATTCGAGTCTATACTCAAGTGACCAAAAAAAGCTTATAGGAAACGATTCAACCAGACTAGGGGTATAGTAGCCGAAAATATACCAGAAAATTTCCTGAGAAACATTGTAAATCAGTAGCACTAACAGAAAGATAATTATAAGCAGCTATAAAACTGATACTTGAACCGTACTGCATGGAAGAAAACAGTTATTTGAGACGATAAATCCGTTTTCAAGTCACCGAATAGCTACATAAAATTACTTCTGTGGCTAAGGTACAAAATATTGATGAGTGTAAACACGTAATAAGCTTTCATAGTTAACACACTGAGCAAAGCATGATGAAAATGTTTCCACAGTGTATTTTAGCGGAACATGTATGAAATAAGGTCGCTTTATCCAAGCTTCAGTTGTGAGACATTTCCAGAAGTATACGTCTCATAAGTCTTATACAGGAAGTAAAAGCTAGTCTAATTAAATTAGAAGTTCTGAAGTGAATGTTGACTAGCTTGAGTAAAACCTGAAATAAATTGCTGTAAGCGATTATTACCTAAATGCATCTTTTCATGAAATATAACTAACCTTAATGGCGAAATTACGGGATCTTAGAGAATTCTGGTTAGATGCACCGTTATCATCAAATGAGTCGATTTTTTCTGGCTTAATTTGAGCCGTCATAACACTAAAGCACGATAGACCGACCTTGCTCCGTAAATCTAGATGTGTTTGGTCGCGACGACTTTCCTTTTTTGACGTACCGACATCGAAACCATCGTTAACATTTGAATGAATCTGGGTAGTTTCAGATTTACAACCAGGAAAGAGGCCCCCAGCAAAACGACTCAATAGAGAACCACGCTATAAAATACGAATGAGATTTCGTTTGGAAAATAGTACTAAGCAAGCATATATAAGTAATTACAAGAATCAAGACATAGTGATATAATGTGTCTGAGTGTTGTCTACTCACGTGAACTTACAATTGATTTAGCACTGCGAATACGTAGAAATCAAAGACAAGACCACCAGTCAGAGTGGTAGTTTTCCATGTAATGCTTATATACAGAATATGAACACAAAATAAATATGATAAAATGTCATAGGCGATTGGAGGAAATCAGCTTGTAGGTCACTTATTCTCCAATCAATTGAGACCTAACTGTCAAGCCAAACCTTTGGGTTTAGTATCGATCTCACAGCCATGTTGAGGTGCAAATGTGACCTGGTTAGTATGAAAAAGTGAATTATTCATCTAGCCAAAGACATAACACAAGTGTCTTCATCAATGTGAAGTCCTACAAATATGCTTGTTAATACTATTATCCGGCTTTTAAGAATAAACTTACTAAACAGCTTTGGTTTTTTTTAATAAATAGCTGAATAGATCGTTATTAACTGATCTGTATCAGTGAACGAACTACTAAGATACTAAGGGTTTCTGATACCATTTCTACATCAACTCTTGTGATGGCGTTATTGTATCGTTATTATTTCGATTTATTGGGATATATCTTATTGATGACCCATTCTTTATTTGATTTATAATACAGTCAAGTGAAGTGTTAATTAGTCAAGACATACTAGACAAGGAAGAATATAACAAATAAGGAATATAATAAAATGATGAATATCAGTAAACTTACTCTGATCATTTGAAGCCTTACATCACTACCAGTATTGTTAACATCTAATTTCACAGGAGCAATTGGTTTATCATTATTATTATTAGGAATGATAACATTGTCAACTTTACTATTATTATCTGTATCATTAGTAACACCTTCATTAATAGGTAGATTATGAGATTTGGGTTGCAAGAAATAATTAGAGATCAATGGGCTTTTAAGCGTAGACGACGGTTTGGTCTTTCCTTCAAAGGGGCAGAAAAAATTGAAATATTAGTTTAAAATATTGGTTTTAATAACCAAAAGCTCTATTGCATAATAATAATGTATTCGATTGTGAATCAACTAACGTTTGCCGGTGACTGTCAATCACTTGCAATGGCTCAGATGCAACCACTATATTTTTTCCTTAGATTTTTAGATTTACAATTATCTAATGTTTTCTTTAATTTCATGAATTCTTACTTACCTCTTGAAATATATTTTCCTATACCTAATCTTTCCTGCCATCATTACAACCATTACTAATTCTACTACTCTGGTGTCTCTCTTAGTAGTTATGTAGTGTAGTGATTCCAAACGATACACATGTACTAGGTTTTACATTGTGTATGACTGACTATCAGTGAGAAATTCTACTACAAAAGATTAAAATAAATATGGGTACTTCGGCAATTAGTTAAGCAATGAGTCAGAGAAATAAACAGTAGCATATAAGCTGTAATACTATTGTGATGGATACATTGAGCTATGATGAATATAAATATTCTGGAGGATATACAAAAACCGAAATTCAATAGCCTTTTAGTAAAACAGAATAACAGAATAGTAAAAAGTCCGATTAATTGAAATAGTTATCCGTGGAAGAGACATCAGTCAATCATAAACAGCTTAAAACCTCGGACATAGGTCCATTAGCTCAAGCTGCCACATTTCTCACCAATATGCTGAGAGGGAACTAAAGAGATGAAGGGTAAAGGAGTATGAATAATGGTAGTATCAGTGATAACGAAAACAGAGAATACAGGTTGAGAAGAAATAGAATAATTATGAGCTATTCTGACTGATTTCGAATCTTATCGCCAAATATATTAGAATAATTTAAGATAATCAGTAGATTACAGCGCATATCTCAACCAGAAAGTTAGAAGCTCGAAAGACAGCTTTGTCCAACAGCAAAGATCTTCACTGATTGGTACTACTTTTATTTTGTCACTCCTAACTTTCTTCTATCCTGCCCAAACACTAGACATAGTTACACGTAATAACAGGCGTGACAGTTACGTATTACAGATGTTTGATAGCTAATGTGACGACTTCATGAAACAAGCACAGATGACACGATCTTGAGAAACATTTAAAATTGTTCTTGTAATCTGATTTGTTAGGTTTATACCAATTTCTAAATTTGTAATTGAAGCCTTACAAATGAGTACTTATATAACCGATTGAATATAGCCAACATCAGTGTACGATCTGACTGGAGCCAAACGAGATTACGAGGAGATTAATAAGCGTGTAAAAAATGAACATGTATTTATGGTGTGAATATCTGGACAATAAATAACACATTTGTGTGAGTAATTCGGAATGCTTAATAGTTGAGTGCTAAACATATACGCTTATATAAAAAGTCAAGATTATAAGCGAATAACTGACATGATCAAAGTGTGTGAATGACTCAAGAAGATTAAATTAATTAGTCCGTCCAAAACCTAGAATAATTCATGAAAATGTGGCATAGTACTAGACGGTACAGTGACCTCGTGAAGAAAGTTGTACATTAATGTGAAAAATATCTAATTTCGAAAAGAATACTAGAGCGGTGTGTGAGTGACATCAACAATAAGTAACGAGAAAAGTACTATTCTGGATAGAGTATAATCATCCATGAACGGTGAGTGTTCAGTACAAGTATCACATTTATGTAAAAAATATATATGAATATTGTACGAGGGTGGACTATTTTTTCATCGTTCAATATCATAAACATTTTCCAACCTAAAGTGAGTTCGTTCCATTTTTTCATGTCACTTCGCCCCATTATTGTGTACATATTCCCGCGACTGAGGTCATTTTTGAATTAGCGTACTTTATTAGTTTGGCTTTGAGATAATTCTTTAGGCTTCGTAGACCAATCACCCCAAATAACTGTTATTAAATAAATCGCATGGTGTATGAATTCAGAAGGCAACAAGAAAGTGCCGACTTCGGTTTATCATTGAATAGCGCAGATCACAAAGCCACAAACATACCAAGCGAATTCGAACAGAAAAGCTAATGCGCGCGAGCAAGCAAATATATAGGCGGATTCAGAGTCGAATCAATTCATAAGATTCAAACACATATAAATATGGAAAGTGAATGATTTATCAAGCGATCTTAAAGCAACTAACATTTAAGCTCGAGAGAGGGATATGTGTGTAGACTGCCGCACGTGGTCAAGCATACATGCTCATACCGACATGATAAGAATACCAAGACATACAAATTGTTACACCCGAATGCAGTCGAGAGAACTTCCTGAACGCTGATGATAGCACGGTCGCAACCAATCCAGCGTTGGTAAAGGTCAGCAACGCTATCATAGACATAAGTTTGGATTCATACTCCCGCTAGTAGTTCTCAATATGCAACAATGTTCACTTATCTCATTTATACGAGAAGTTCAACAGATTTCCACCATATATCTATATTCACATGTCAGTCACTTAGTCAGCTACAACGTAGGACCAGGCACATACATGCATCGGTCCAGGTTGTCATACCTCATTAGCACAGCAAGACGAACACAGGATTCATAGGAGTGGTTAGGTTAAAGGTGGTAATATATAGGAGAAAGATTGCATATAAGGATACAGTACCGGAATAAAGAATTAGTTAGTAGAAAGAAAGATATGAAGTGATTTTAATATCTTAGTTTAAGGGAAGACAGGGAGTATATGCATCGACGCCATTATGATCGATTATGAGCCATGTCACCAAGAGTCTCCAAACGTCGGTTACGAAAGTCACGCGGACCCCAACCAAGTAGTCTGCATCTACCAACATGGCTCAGACTAGAAATTAGTGATTTCAAGCACTGATGCCACGTTTTAGTTTGGCCGCCCCTAACTTTTTTCCAACCATCTCCAACACCGGTTAGCATTGCACGTCATGGTAATCGGTGTTCAGGCATACGTAACACGTAGCCCAACCATCTCAGTCGATGAAGATTAACAACCTCATCAACTGATTTACCATCATTCCCTAATACCCTGCGTCTAACCTCACTATTACTTACCCGGTGATCCCAACAGACGCCAGCAATATTTCTAAGACATCTGTGGTCAAATACTAGTAGTTTACGGGTGTCTTCTACTCTTAATGGCCATGTTTCGCTGCCGTAAAGTAAGACAGAACGGACTGCCGCGCAGTATACTCGTGCTTTTATTGATAGACGGATATCTCACCTTCACCAAAGGTGACGTAAGTTGGCAAAAGCCAAACGAGCTTTCCGAATCCGTGCTGAGATTTCGTCTGATACCAGCCCATTAGGGTTGATCAGACTTCCAAGATAAGTGACGTTGTCAACGCGTTCGATTACTTCACTCCCTATCCTTAGTTCAGGTGTTGACGCAGACCAGTCCTGAAGCAACAACTTGCACTTAGAGGGAGAGAAGGGCATTCCAAACATTCTGGCATTGTTGCTTAGTGCTACCAAAAGACTCTGCATTTTGTCAGCGTCTTCACCAAACAGGACTATATCATCTGCGTATTCTAAGTCGATAAGTGGACCTCCTGGAAGGAGATCAATACCCGAGAATTCAGTAGACGAGAATGTTATTTCCATCAGTAGGTCTATGATGAAGTTAAACAGAAATGGAGAAAGTAGACAGCCTTGACGGACACCACTTGAGGTTGCAAAAGCAGATGACAGTTCGCCGTAAGTTTTGACTCGACTGGTAGTGTTCGAGTAAAGAGCCTTTACAAGGTTTATGTATTTCTGGGGTACGCCTTTCAATGACAGACTGCCACAGAATCTCGCGGTCTACCGAGTCAAATGCTGCTTTTAAGTCAAGAAAGATCACCATTGTCGGACGCCGGTAGGTATGTCTATGTTCTAGAACCTGACGAATGGTGAATATGTGGTCCATGCATCCACGACCAGGTCTGAAGTCAGCTTGATGTTTAGTCGATAAGCCTTACTATCATGTTCATACATTCATCAAAATTTTGACTCAGCATTCTTGGCCTATAGAAATCGGATGTTGGACAATGATAGTAGATTTGATGAAGAAAAATAATACCAACGTTGAATATTCCTTACAAGAACTCAATAAATAACTTACCACGATTGACTGGTAACTTATTACGTACAACTATTTGAGTTTTCAACTTCGTTTGAGATCTTAGTAAAGCCTTTTTTCCTAAAGATAAAACCTATTAAAAAGATAATACATAGAAGTATATCTTAACAACTGCACAGCTGGAAAATTAAGTTTACAGCAAATAATAAATTGAAATGGTCCAAAATCTGACTAATCTACAGCTGTAAACGTATACAATTAGAAAACTTAGTCAATAAAGGAAAAAGATAACTTTATTGTATACATCTGAAATGAATAGTACATATCATCACCAGTTTGATTATGGGATCGGAATACATATCGAATATTGCAAAAGGATTTAAAAAACATTCGGTTTTCAATATTATTATTGAATAGTACAATTGTAACTTCTTTGACTGTGAAGTTGTGCGATATGGGGTCGAATCCACTACAGAACATTAGTTCCCCTGAGATTACTAGCACACCTTACTGACCAAGTGCCAAATAGAATAAAAACTAGGAGAAGTAGGGTTTCGAATTAACTGCTTTCAAACGCCATTTTACATTTCACTATAGTGCACGCGATGTCGAGTAACTTAGGCTAGTGGCTAAATTTAAACTTGGCTGACAGAATTCAAACATCACTAAGAAGAACTTGATATAGATATTGGACACTTACTCAGTGATCAATAAATTGTAAATAAATACTTATATTAGCAGTGAGAATGAACTTACACCATTTGATAAATCATCAGTTACTATCTTCGAATTTTCTATTTCTTCATCAGATTCTAATACTGAATCATTAGGATCTTTATCATTTGTTTGTTTATTAGATGATGAATGTACTGTGTCAGAATCTAAATCATCATTTTCAATGGATTGATTATTCTCATCATTCGAGGATTTCATTGGACCACGACGTAACCAATTGTCTATAGGACCAAAAGGTATACCATGTTTTTCATCTTCACTTGAATTATCATCATCACCACTATTATCCATGTTTATTTGATCAGTAAATGGATCATCATTATCTAAAAAGAAAGTTACTGATTAATACGTTTTTCAAATATCTAGTTTGGGAATTTACGCATCCGAGAAATTCGAATGTACATTAGAAAGAACTAGTAAAGTGAAAAGCAATGCGCCATCCCTTATCATATTTCTACAGTAATGAGAAATTAGTGTAGAAAAAGAATGACATAACATTTCAATTGACTTTGACTCCAATGAGAAATTATTTTTCTTTGAAGGCAACGAAATAGTCTACATACATTGCAGAGATGTAAAACAAACCAAACAAATTAGTCGATGTAAAGCTAACGGTTGACGTAATTCTCTAGGTCGGATTCTGTGAATGAAAGTATGCTACATTTAAGAAGTCAACACATAGAACTTAAATGTGATGATTCATATGGCTTCACCCAGCTAGCGAATCGTGCATCTAGGAAATTGGTAAAAAAGTATCAGGTGTAGATATAGCTAAGGATTGTTCATAGTTAAAACAACTGCCTTTAAGTCTGTAGGACATACTAAAGTATCTTTGAATGGAGAGATATTGAACATGTAACTAGTTATCTAAATAGAAATTCCTTGAATACATGCAACCTAGTTTGTTTAATTTTAAAATTGTGAAATCTTGTCTTCAATTTTATCCATATTCATAAACGGAAAATAAGCATTCATAAAAAATACTTATATAATAAAGTTACCTAAACCGCGCCAACGAAAACGTCTCTGACGAACTCGTCCATTTTCAGCATGTAAATCACCGTCTTCAAAATAAAGTTCCTGTCAAAATATTAAAAAAAAACATCTCAACGATAGAAATCACTAAAATATGATTAATATCGCTCTAATAAGAATATTCTCGGAGAAAATATGGGTATTTCGAGTCGCAGTGAATACGCTGAGACATACTGATATAAAACTATATCTGGTTACTGGATAACAATTTGAACAAAATGTGGTAAGCAAAACATTACCGGTATATATGTATAGAAACAGTTTTTGGTTTTTTATAACTAAACGATTGTTTAAGTATATAAATCTTATAAAGGTTGGAGAAATTCGTTAACTAAATCCTCTAAAAACTCAATATCATTGTGAAATATACTATGCTATACTATACATAACTACCACACACACATGTACCTTAGTATAAACTATTCTTATAATGTGACTTAACTCTATCTAAAACGAAATAAGCTTACGGGACTTGAATAGGTGAACAATTGGCCAAATTAAATTGTCAGGTAGATCATTTGATTTTCCAGATAATAAAGGTGACCAAAACGCATCGCGACACCATTCAGAGGTGGCTAATTACTAAATATTTTTGAGGGACGTTATTTCAAATCATCCACCATTAGTGTATCCCTTTAAATGAAGATAGTCAGCACTATTTCTACGCGTTAGAGAAAAAAAGCCAGACTGTATTCATCGACGTGACATCTTACGGTCTGATGTTTTCAATTATAATATGCAAACAAGTCTAATCTTTAGTTCATAAGTGAATTTCTATGTAGAAGAATATATGTTAGTACGCATATCAGATTTACATATAATAACGAGCATTACTATAGGATTGCGTTCTCTGAGGTCGGTGCTTTTAAGTTTGTCTCGATGATGTTATCAAGAAAGATAATGAAAGTTTCAAAACAAAACCATCTAGATGAAAGAATGTAATATCACCATAATTATCCTTGTGAACTACATAGAGCATTTGTTTATCAATGTATTAGTTAAATTGAATTGTGCACGAATCTTTTAAAAAATACACGATGAACAGACTTTGATAAAAAATTATGAACAGTTTCAATAGATTGGCAATCATGTGGGTTCAAATTTAAAGAAGTATTAGTTTCCTCAATACAATATGGCAACTATTGAGCAGGAAATCAAATTTATTATAAAAAATTGTTATGACGACTATGTGATCTTTTGGTGACGGATTAGTGGAAGACAAACTGGAGATTCAAAACAAGGTGAATACTATGAAAATATTAGCGCAAGGAGTGGGTTTGCGAAGATTGTTGAAATTCATAGTTTACTTAACGGACTGTTCTTAGTTAAAATATATTCGGAAGAACAAAATACTAGACAGTTGTTTTGTCCCAGGATAAGGATCCTCAGTAGTTCGCACCTACGACTCTAGGGGTAAGATCCAGGACCTTAGGTCTAGTGGCGAGCTGTTAACTTTCAGATACCTGAGGTGGCACTCAATGATTTAGATATCTAACTTCAATCAGTTCATGATATTGCTTAATCGTCTTTCAATGGCAATAATGGACATGGTTGTAAAACGAAAAACACAACCTCTACTGACTGACTGAATAATGATAAAAGTTGTCAGAATAACAATCGGATAAGTTGGAGAAAAAAAATAAAAATCTACGTAAATATACCTTTAGATAACGTATTTCACGTAGATCTTGATCAGTTTGAAGGCGGTGGTGTACACGTTCAATTTGACGTCTTAAACGACCAGCTGATGGAATATCTGAATCATCTTCGTCAATTAAGTCAGCGAATTCTTCATTAGCATCATCATTGGGATCTAATTCATCTTCATCGTCCATGAAATATGCTCGTTCATTTTCATCACCAGACAATTCGGCTTCTTCATCCACAAAGTCATTTATACGAAATCTAAAAATATATAATAATATTTATCTATAATATAAGTCTTAAAAACAGAATAAAAGCTTTAAACATTAAAATAACACAAACTTTCAATTACAAATATATTCCTCTTTGAATTCAATCTTTTATCTTGTTTACTTATTTATTTATCCTCATTTAATGAATGCTGTGACAATTTTGATTCATTTCATATATAAAATGATATGTTTTCTTAATATACACAGACCGAAGACAATATATAGTTGAATGAAATTTCTTCTCAAATCACTTACGTATACACACAATCTGTTATCTTAACACTTTTTGTTTCATACCACATATCTCGTATATATTAATGTAAATACCTATTTTAAACATTGTTCACGTTGATTGGATGACTTATTCAGTATACAATAAACCAGAGAACCATGTACCTATTTATATTCGATAATTTTATTGTTTGATTATATTTTCCTTGAAAAAGCTTGGACCAGATTGTCAGGCGAAATGTTGGATTTACTTCAAATTCTTTCGCTGAGATTTTACAAATACATTCTTCCTGTTTAATGACTCACATTAACTCGGCGCCCAAATTTTTGTGAAACTATTCGTCCACAGTTAGATGAAAGTTTTTATATAAACTTTAAGCAAGTTGTTTTATTGAAACTATGAAATTATGATATCAAGCGAAATTTAAAAAAAATTATTATTATTAAGCGTAAAAATGGTAAATCTAAATAAAGATGATTTTCTTTCAATTATTGTAGGATTCACAAGTTCACTTGTTTACATTTAACATACAAAATATTCATTTACAAAGCTGATTCGTTATTTCATTTATTCGTTAATGAAATAGGGACATAATATGCGATGAACTTCAGTTTTTCAAGAAAACAGTATCATTGAGAGAAAAAAATATTTACACAGGTTATAAAATGCCTATAAGTTATCTAGGTATTATTTATTTATTGCCTTGATTGTTGTATGATTTAAAGTCATAAAATTGACTAAGGTCAAACCCCCTAATTTTCTTTGCTACTAGAATCTTATTCGAGTCAACTAAAAAGTTTACTTAACTTTTTCGAATTGTGTATTGTTGAGCGGTCAGTCATAGCAGTTTAAGTAAGTAAACATTGAAACAAAGTAGATAACATTAAAACACTACAAATACTCATATACAAGGGTATGATGCTCACCAATCATGTAAGAAATCTAGAAAAAAATAACACACGACATGTTAAGTATCTGTGCAGGTAACTCAAAGGTGGAATTCTATCGGTATGAAAAAAACTGTTGGCAAGACAGAAGAAAAGCATTTCACTTACTTTTTCTTTTTTTTAATTTCATTCGACTGTATAGTTAGACGTTGAACTTCCTCTTCATCGTCAAGATAATTGTCTTTTTCTTCCTCTTCATCTCTTTCCGAGGACTCGTCATCATCACTGCCATTATCTTCGTCAGTTATATCATCAGGATCAATATTTTCTTCATCATCACCTGCTTCAATAGTATGATCATCTGATTCATCAACACTTGAGCTCTTATCCTCTAATTCCACATTATCATCTGTATGGAGTACTTCTGGCAAATTGTCACCAGTAAAATTAGATTCTGCAAAAGATATACATTAGATTTATTGAAAAGCATGCAAAAACAAACCTGATGTGGACTTAAAAGGATTATTCCGTATGAGTGAAGCTGGTTCAATACAGCTATTATCCTTCTTTTCTTCATTCCCTTCTTCTTCATCATCTTCATCAAAAACTAAAATTCGTCGACGAGATGAATTCTATGTATGGAGAATGAAACAGTGGTAGAGAGATTAAAATTAAAAAAAAAACTAAACGAACAGGTTACGAGCATGAGGAGAAATAATACAAGCGAAATGAAAATTTAGACTAAAGAAGAACGTTAATAAAGATAAATCATCTGATATATTAAGGTTTACAGGTCCAAGGGCCATCTTAAAAAATGTCAAGGTAATCATTGTGTTCATAACACTAAAGAATGCAGGATGTTTACAGAGATCCATTTAACTAAGAGGTTGAAAACATAAGTAAGCGCCCTTAATTACATCCACATGGCATAAATGGGTAAGAATGAAATAGGCATCACTAACCAATCCTATTGGTTATCATAAATTCTAGAGATGAATCTCTATGAATAATAACAGTCAATCTATTTAAGGACAGTAATTTTATAGAACAGGTTAGGAGAAATCACTTACTTGAGTCGTAAACACAGAAATAGGGTGCTCAGATTCCTGAAAGTCTGAAAGAGAATATAAACAATCATGAATTCTGTAATTCATTGTGATAATGAGCAATTATTATTACTATTTAAGTTCTGAGTTACCTTTTTATGCTACATTAAGGTGGTCGCCACTAAGCGTGGATAAATCGGGATTCTCAAAAAGTTCATCTGTGATGAGAATAAGTCAATGCGAAACTCTATGACTATGAAATTGTCACACATGAAATACTAGTTACTTTAACACTGTAAATGGGTCGAAGTAACATATGTCAACTTAAACGAAAATTAAATTGAGGGATCTAAAATTAAATGGATTAAAACTATTACTAATACTTTTGTAGTTAGCCGATATAACATCAGCCCACTAATCATATGGTTGTTCTTCCTTTTTTACTCATACCCTTATAGCAGTTCTTCAAAATGACTAGTTGTCGCTAATTTAAGTAAATCAACATAACTCTTCTGTCTCTTGTTCTTACTATCAGTTCACTACAGAAATACCCGACTTACAACCATTTTAATCACGAAAGTATTCACGTTTACTCTTAGTTTTCAGGGTTTTTCGAATTATCATTATTGTCACAACCGTAATGTCAATGAAACTGATTCGCAAATACATTATGTAGATGGTCATATAAATCGAACTTCTGCAGGATCATAATGGATATTAATGAATCATTATATGCACATTTCCATCGTTTACATAATCAATTGGTTTTATTTAGGAAACCGCCGAAAACTAGTAGGCACTGGATAGCTGTTTCGTTTAAGTATAGGCCTCCTCTCAGTACTGCATCTACGACACCATTGGAGAGGATCATACGCAGGACCTAAGGTCTCGAGACTACTGAGCCGCGGTCCGATGATGTGATATACATGTTCAATTTCAATGAACTTGAGCTACTACACGAACGAATTCCATTACATGTGGTGAGTAATTGACTTGCACCCGACATGGTTGAATTTCATGAATAAAACCTTTTAACTAGAACTTTTGGAATAACATCTCAAAGTTAGTCACTTGTGAGCAAATGAATATTTCAAATATAAAGGGTTTGTGGAGATTGTTGGCTTGTCATGGTTTATAAATATTGATCTCGAAACTGTAAAACTATATATTATTTCTTAAAAAGGTTATCGATATGTGAAAGCTATAGAGCATATAGAATGGAATTCACTTTATTCTAAGAAGTTTGTTAGCCTGTTTAAAAAACCAGTTAGTACAAGTTATACCAAATCAACTGAATGTAAAAATTACCTGGATCATCATGATTATTTACAGCTGGCTTTACACTTTCATTGACAAAGCCTTGTGATTGGTCACATGTAGACTCGCCAAATGGATTACGACAGTTTTCATGAGGATCTGTTCAGGAAGATTTATAAATAGATAATGAAAATTAGATAAAAGTAGCTTTATTGCTGCTGCGGGACATTTAAACTACAATTCAGCATACTTTAATTACAAACAAATAGCTAGAGTTATGATGAAGTATTTTTACGATTGTCTGCATTGTAATGTATGATATCCTATTGTTTTAGTGATTTTGAAAGGCGATTTGCCCATCCAACTGCTTCCATGTTCTAGTCCATTTTTCTAGTTATTAGAAATTAATAAACTAAAAAAACACAAAAAGAAATTGACAAGAAGGATCACAGACAAAAATATCTAGTGAAATGAAAAGATAAAATCTATTTTTGACAGGATAATTGACGGTATTTTATAGTAACATGATTAATCTGTGACTAAATGTTATTTTATACTAATTCACACACTAAAATGAAATATTTAAACTATTTGAAAATTACAACTGAAAAGGGAAACAACACTGCAAATATATGGAAGAAAACTTATCAAATTATCATATGATGAAGTAAAACATTATCATAATCGTTTTAGTTCAAAAGTGGAGATGAAATACCTGAATTATTACTATTGATAATTGAGTTTTTCACTTCATTTGTTGATTCTTGTGACGGGATACATATTGATCCGCTGAATAGATTACCATGCTTTTCATGTTGAATCTGAGAATCTATCGACAGAAATACACAGACAAGAAAATATAATACTTAACTTCAAAAGTAAACCCAAAATTAAATACTTTCAAGAATCAGAAAAACAGTAAGAAGAGTTAGTGAGGGAGAATATAACAAGGAGGTTTTCCATGAACATATTAAAACCCTTATCTCGCATTTACTGTTTTTAAAAATAGAATCCATTTAAATATGTCGAAAAACGATTAGACGCAAAAAACTGAACAATCACAGATAAATACACCATTAAGAAGAGGTGGATCAGTGGTTAGGGTGTTCAACCACCAAGTACGTAGTACGAAACCTACTTCATCTATTACGTTTTGGCTAACCGGGCAGTAGTATTACTTAGAGTATGACTTAAAGCCAAGTGAATGATTCTGTACTTGGTAAATAAATATCAATGAATAGTACCACCTTCCGAAAACTTTAATAAACCTATAAATGATAGTATCGAAAAATCGAAACGTAATTCAAAAATCGTATAATAAAGAACTAGAGGTGTGATGGGTGCGAACCAATTATTATGTTCGCTACAACCAACAGGAAAATGAAATGTTATATCAATAAAATCTCTAACAGGCTCCGTTTCTTTTTGTCATTAAATCTATGGAAGAATGAAGACTTAAGTGGATTAGTTTAGTGAAGAGTAATGCATATATCTAAGAAAAATATACACAAATTACCCAGATCATTATCATCAGCCAAATCCATGAAAGCTTGCGATTGAGTACCTATTGATCCTCCAAACAAAATACGATGATTATCGTGATTAGTTAGGGAATCTATGAAAAAAAAAACAGAATGTAGTTGAAATAACGATATAATTCATCTGAAACTTCAAGAGACGTGGGCATCTCATTGCCTTAAAGTGACATGGGAAAACAATGTTATCAACAACAAAAATACTCAATTGGTTTGGGATACGGTTTCAAACAGACCTAAAATGATCAGAAATGGTAATAAATTTAAGGAAGTGAATATTAGGTGATTTATGAAATAGTGTTAGCTACAAAAGGACTATATCAAACTGAAATGCCGAAACAAATTTACGGCATTCAACTCGAATAGTGAGAAGTCGCCAAGGTCAGTATTTGGAAGAGTTATTATTGGATATAAGCTTTTGATCAGTGAGCATTATCTACTTTTCTGTGTTTATTCAGAATATGTAAAACATCCGTATATCTATATTAAATATTTAACTAATATATCCACCCAATCAAAAATATTCAAATACCTGTTACATGAATACCTGTGATTGATTTTGTAGTCTCATCGATAAGTTCTTGTGATTGGTTACTGATTGATCCTCCAAAAAGATTACAACGATCGTTATGGAGAACCTGTGAATCTATGTATACAAACAAAACAAGCAGATTTAGCGAACAAAACAAGAAAACGATGAAATAAAACATACTCATACAAAAACTGTGATATTATAGAGTGCAGTAGAAGGTATAAGCCAACGTATATTATACAGTGAAATGTATGAAAACAAGTAAACAAATAACAAATTGATCTAATTTTACAAGCTTCAGTTATTCACTGAAACTAATATGTACGTATTGATAATTTCATAGGATAAATGCTATCATGATTGTTAAAAAAAGCATAGGAATAAAGAAAGAAATATTCATTAGAACAGTTATGTATCAACAAACTTCAGTCGTCAAGAAAATAGTGTACAACTAGAAAAAGCAAACGATGAGCTAGAATGAAATCAGCGATAAAAGTTACTGATGCAAATTAAAAAAAGATAAGTTAAATCAAGTTTAACAGAATATACAGATACCATTTACCTTAATAATCCTACCAGTGATTGAGACAGTGAATTCAAAGGCAGATAAAATATCGGTAAATGTTATATGAAAATGTAATAATTAAGAGAAATGGTGGTTAATTCATAGAATATGTTTCCCTGAATGAGTTAAATTGTAATCGAACCAAAACAGAAAGTTTTTTTCTACATAATGGAATATCTGTAAGGTGAACAAAGAGTGATGTTGACTCTATTTTTTGTTTTGTTAGTTTTCATTGTACTAAGAAGATCAATTGTTGAGTGATATGATTTAAATCAGAGACCGCTATAATATAAGTTGGAACTGGTTTTCCGAATTGTTATCTATTATAATCTAGTTGTATAGCTACTGAGTAACTAGAATACTATGTATATGTATTTCTTGAATCAGAATCTCTCAGTTAACCTATAAACTACTGTTATACGACTTACTATTCCTAATTTGTTGCCAGCCCCTACTCAAAGCCACTTTTGGTCATTTTATATATCATTGTTATTTTTCATTTTATAATGTAGTATGGTCTTGTACGTCTGTGTAGAAAAATACGTCTGTTTGAAACATAGGGATCGTAGAGGCTGGGTGCCACATTTGAACTTAAAGGCATGATATAGAGAGAAGTTTGTGAATGATAAACTGGCGTGTAATTGGTCCTGTCAGAGGCAATAAGCTACATCGTAAATAACAGATCAAATGAGGAGCAGGATTCTGATTGGTAGCTTATCACATTGTTTCATCAGATGGTTTCAAGGCATAAAAATGTCACTGCTGAGCAACATTCAGTTCGAATGAATTGGACTCGAAACATAGAGAGTTGATATCCTGTTTCCGACTAAACAGTTATCAAAATTTTTCGTGGTTTCTCATCAGCTGCTTACAACCAAATATGTATTTAAATTTTACATTGAGGTAAGATATAATGTGGAACAATTGACATAAGTGAATGTAAAGAATTGGAATGACAACGGTTATCAATAACAACTATATATATGTGTGCAATAACAGGTCAGAGGTTATTTGGTGTTATAAATAAATATATTTGTAATATCCCAATGAGGAAAAAATCCACTACTACATGAAAGATGTTTTATTCCATATGTTTATAACACAATTGTTGATCCAGAAGCTGTTTTGGTCAGGAGTATGGTGTTAAGAACAAATAATCATCTAAGAAGATAAGCAATCAATCTTGAAATGATAAATAATATTAGTGGCTCAGAATGAGGATGTGTTCTTTGGACTGAAAGGTTTAGTTTTGAAGCCTTCATCATCTTTCTAGACAATCTAATCAAGTTCATACTTCAGAAAGAAGTCGAAGTCAACCAATCCACCTAACACAAGTAATAATAAAATTCAAATGATCCATTTAATAGTTTTTCAGTGTTTTATTTCAAACACCTTTCTATATTTTAACAAACTACAGGATTGATTATCCCCAAGAATTCAAAACTACATGTCGCATAGCAATGGTCAAAATGAACGATATTTAACCAGTCAACTCAGTGAACTCCATCACTCTTCAGTCAGTGTGATACAGTTTTTCTCATATTGTCAATAACAAAAGCACTACTACTAGTAAATGTACATGAATAAATAAAATGAGCGGTGCATGAAAATGGTATCTCTACATATAAGGAATATTAAGGAACCAAATAAGATAAACACCTATATCATCATTCTCATCAAAGGATTTAGTTGTGACCGGATCCATAACTACTTGAGATTTGTCACACATCGATCCACCGAAGAGATTGCGACGATTTTCATGGTGAACCTGAGAATCTGAAAAAGAACATGGAAAGAAAATAATATGAAGACATATAGTGAATGTACCAATACAATATTTTTTAAAAATTAACTAAACATGCATACAACTGAGCGACATTTCCATTCGTTGGCTTTTTAATGTCAGTCAGTCAGTCAGCTGCAACGCAAGACCAGGCATATATACGCATCGGTGCAAGTCGACATACCGCATTAGCACAACAAGATGAACACAGGATTCATAGAAGTACTTAATTCAGTGGTGGTAATATATAAAAGAAAGATTGTATATAAAGACATAGTACATGGAGAAGGATTTAGTACGTAGAAAGAAAGATATGGAGCGATTTTAATCTCACGATTTAAAGGAAGAGAGAAAGTGTATACACCTATGCCACTATGATCGATTCTGAGCCATGTCACTAAGAATCTCTAACCATTGGTTACGATAGTCACGCGGACCCCAACTGAGTAGACTGCATCCGCCAACATGGCTCAGACTAGAAGTTAGTGTCTTCAAGCACTGATGCCACGTTTTGGTTTGGCCGCCCCTAACTTTCTTCCAACCATCTCTAACACTACTGAGCATTGTGCGTCGTGGTAATCGATGGTTCGGCATGCGTAACACGTGGCCCAACCATCTCAGTCGACGAAGATTCACAACCTCATCAACTGATTTACCATCATTCCCTAATACCCTGCGTCTAACCTCACTGTCGCTTACCCGGTGATCCCAGTAGATGCAAGCAATATTTCTAAAACATCTGTGGTCAAATATTAGTAACTTACGAGTGTTTTCTACTCTTAAAGGCCATGTTTGGCAGTCATGAAGTAGAACAGAACGAACTGCCGCACAGTCTACTCGTCATTTAAGTGATAGACGGATATCTCGCCTTCTCCATAAGTGACGTAAGTTGGCAAAAGCCAAACGAGCTTTCCGAATACGTGCTGAGATTTCGTCCGATACCAACCCATTAGAGTTGATCAGAATTTCAAGATAAGTGACGTTGTCAACGCGTTCGATTACTTCACTCCCTATCCTTAGTTCAGGTGTTGACGCAGACCAGTCCTGAAGCAACAACTTGCACTTAGAGGGAGAGAAGAGCATTCCAAACATTCTGGCATTGTTGCTTAGTGCTACCAAAAGACTCTGCATTTTATCAGCGTCTTCACCAAACAGGACTATATCATCTGCGTATTCTAAGTCGATAAGTGGACCTCCTGGAAGGAGATCAATACCCGAGAATTCAGTAGACGAGAATGTTATTTCCATCAGTAGGTCTATGATGAAGTTAAACAGAAATGGAGAAAGTAGACAGCCTTGACGGACACCACTTGAGGTTGCAAAAGCAGATGATAGTTCGCCATAAGTTTTGGCTCGACTGGTAGTGTTCGAGTAAAGAGCCTTTACAAGGTTTATGTACTTCTGAGATATGCCTTTCAATAACAGACACTGCCACAGAATCTCGAGGTCTACGGAGTCAAATGCTGCTTTTAAGTCTAGAAAGACCACCATTGTCGGACGCCGGTAGGTATGTCTACGTTCTAGAACCTGACGAATGGTGAATATGTGGTCGATGCATCCACGACCAGATCTGAGGCCAGCTTGATTCTCTCGTGTTTGCAGTTCACCAGTCTTAGTTAAGCGTCCGATAATTATCGAGGCTAGTATTTTAGATGCTTTTTAATGAAACTATACAGTATCAAAGTTATGGTACTACTGAGAAATATGGAATCAGTACTGATCTTTTGTTTCCTCGACAGTAATTTGTGAATTTCCAAATGGTATGCTATTTTTATACACTATGTTATCAATAAAAAAATTATTATTACCGAAACACAAGCAAATTCATACAAACAGTCATTCATGCTATAATAATATGCAACACAGGGTTATGTCAAATAAATTAGAAAATTTTAGGACAATAAAGTTAAAATACCAGCATTACTGTTTTCGACACTTGACTTTGTAAGGATGTCCACAAACAATCCTGACTGGTCACTCACTGATTCACCGAACAGATGACGACGGTTTTCGTGAAGAACTTGTGATTCTGTATTTATGAGAAGTAAAACAAAACACTAAAGAGGATAAAAGATCAACATATGTAAACTAATGTTAAATAAACATGGTAGTGCACCAAAATCATCGTAAATATTCATAAGTAATGGCCTGAAGGTTAAATCATTTGACTTTGACAAATAAGTTTGTAATTGAGAACACGAACCGATAAATGTTTGATTACCATTGAAGACCTGGATGCACTGAACGGTTGTTTCATCTTAGCATGGCATTCCTCAGTAGAGCTCACTTACGACTCTGCACGTGGGATTCGAAACCAAGACTTTCGGTCTCGCGCGGACGCTTGATTTCTAGACTGAGGCGAGATTTAACGGTGTTGGTGCCTAACTTCAATTAATACACGACATTGCGCAACTGTTTCCCATTGTCTTCGGTGTGTCACTGCATCACACCCAACATAGTTGAACTCCATTGGTTTAAACCCGGCTGCGCCTATGTGAATTTTAAAAGTCAAATCGTACGCTACCCCGTAAAAAAATATAAAACGAAGCTAAGTACACAAATTCATATTATGTAACTACAGTATATTAATTATTGAATTAATTTTCATTAAGGAAACTTAAAAATATCAAGAAGGTATTCTATACTTTTCACCTTCAGTAGTCAAGATGTTGTTTTAATCAGTTCCGGCAGAATAATTATACCATCGAAAAAATCATTTGATGTGTTCATATAGGGTTCAGTATGATAAAAATATATTTGACACTAGCATGTGTACGTCACAGTTATATGTATTTATTGTTAAACAATAAACGCAATAAAATACGATGATTACAAGATATTTTTCATATTAAACAGATAAACGTTATGAATTTGGACAAGGAGTAGTGAAAAGTGACTGGGATCATTGTGGCACTGAAGATGAGCATAAAGCAGTTAAGAACGAACTAAAAGTTACATATATTTTTAAAGGTCAATTACTCTTCAATCTGTAGAAATTTACTTGTAAAAGTCACTTTGTATACAATTATGACAGATATGTAATGTAATGAAGTAAAGTCAATGAAGATGATTTAAAATGATAGGCTCAATACATATAATGATACTATAGACATGTATAAAACGCTTATAACTCACGAAGACTTGGATTCGTTTCCTCAGGTATTATAATCGTAGGATCTAGTTGAGATGTCAGTTGAGTTGGTTCTTGAGATAATAAGACCGTGTCCTGAGATGATATATTATGAGGGTTAGCTAAAAAGAAGGAAATAATGATGAACAGAAGGAAACACTTAGAAGACGAGGTGAATACAGATAAAATGACGAAAATTAATTAATTTTTTGTGGAATAGTTCAAGAGTTTTCCCGAAAGGAAAAACAACATTATTTCTAGGTTATGTTACAATGAAAATATTTCTGTTTATCTCCTAATCTAACTGCACCTGTAGCTCTTCTATGGTTACTACTGGTCCCAAGCCCAGATAAAGGAGGGTTGGGCATAGGGTTAGCAACGGCATCTCGTAGAAAAACACCTTACTAAATCACGATAACCTGAAAAAAAACAATTTAAACCATGGGAGTTGAAGGATCGTCACGTAGAAGAATTATTTGCCTAATAGTGAAAGACGAGATTCTTTGAAAATCACGAAGTCGGTGCTCCTTCTGATAACTAAGGAGCAATTTATAGAGGCACGTGGAATATGAGAGACCGGGAGCACCAGTCGAATAGTTGAATGAATGAGAAGATACAACTTAGCGGTTCTCTCAATAAGTGGAACCCATTTAACCCAAGCTGAACAGAAAGGATAAACATTGGGAGAAGTGCTAATTCGTGTCAGATGTGAGCCAGTTACTCACCGCAAACAATGGAAGATGGTGACACAATGCTGTGATTTGACTGAAGCTAGTAATTAACATCGTTGGATGGCAAGTCAGTGGTCTAGTAATCAAGGGTTCGCGCGCGAAATAAAGTCCTAGGTTAGATTCCAGAGTGCGGGATCACGGATGAGTTCCACACTCAGACGAAATGGCAGTTCAATGCTTCCAAGTTTTCAATGGTGGTTTAACTTAGATCGGTTAGTGATTTCAGTGACATATATTAGACATTGTATAATAGATGAACTTACACGTCATTATATGATTGTCATCAGTGGACTCTTGAGTGATAGACTCTGATCTGGAAGCTACTAACAAAATAAAATACAAACCAATAATGGAACAGCTTTAAAACTTTAGTCCATAGTTAATATAAAGAAAGAACTAAAAAATAATTAAGCTCTACATAAAGCTTATTTCGGCGAGACTATAATTTATGGACGAACCAATCAGGTATAAGATAGCAGGTCCCGGATTTCGGTGCGAAATTCACTCATCTATTTGACAAAATAGAGTTTTGGCATTATAGCTAACGTCAGTTCATGATGAAAACCCTAAATAAAATTCCTAACCCTAACCGTCAACTGTAAATCACAATTCAAAGTTCTCACACAGGTTTATAACCCTCATTAGGTCCTAGTTATTAGGTGGACACTATCAAGGTCAGTCCAGCGTCGCTCAAAGGTCGTCAATAAATTATAGTCTCACCCTTATTTCAAATAAGAATTCCTTCAACTACTTTTATGCTAACCAGTTAAACCTCAATGTTGAAATTTGATGACAATTACATTTCTTTCTGTTTCACAAAAAATGCTTCTCTGAAATTATGAAGACACAAATATGAAAAGTAATCAATCGGTTATATCAATGAAAATTATTTGAATAAATTAACGATGATTAGAAATAGAAATCTTGGAACGCTTACGCAATTGACTGTTTGGCTTTTGAGAATACAGTAATTCATAAGGTGTATTATTCCATTGACTATGAGAAGATGAATTACGGGTAAATCGAGACTTGTTTTCGTCCTAATTAAGGAAAAAAAAGAGCAAAGTGGACTTTCTGGATGAAGTAATGAATTTTAAAGAAATTTATTAACTTAAGTTAATCAGATATAACATTTACTAGAGTCAGAGTAGGTCAGTTTAAAACCTTTGCGACTATGTTATTGAAAGAGACATGTTTTCGCTTCATATCAGATACACTCTATTGAATAGTGATAAGAAGCATACAGTTCCCTTCATTCGAAACTTTCTTTCAGATTCAGTAAAATACGTAAAGATAAGTATTATTATCAAAATTCGACTTAATAATTCCAAATTCACAAATATATCATAATTTAATTATTAAACAGGTAGATGATTAGTGCATTGGGTCATGATGTTACAGAATATTGGTAATACCAATCACTAGTTGTACAACGCAGCTATCATTTTTCAACTACAAAAGTAAAATAATCCTTTGTAGATTAATACTGACTACTAATTTAAACGATTAGTTTCACTGAAACAAATTTTTATTTATGATGCAGGATAAGACTTAAGGATTCATTTTTAGTTTAGAAAAATAATGTTACATAATTAGTTAATTCAGGTTTAGTGTGAAACAAGGGAAACAGAAGATATACTTACACCGATGGTAGTTGCATCTAAACGAGTAGAGGCCAATATAGACTGAGGATTCATAGTTCCTGGCAAAAAAGTTAGACAAACTTGCTAAGTAGACACCAAGCATACAATGAAATTAAAAAATTGGAATTGTATCAGCAGAGAAATTAATAAAATCATTAAAAAAGCATAGTTTTAATTACCTATCTTTAAGACACACTTTAAGTGTGAGAGACTAGGTAGATTAATTGATCTATATATTTGCTTGTTTCCCTAGATGAAGGACACCATATATATATAAAAGCATCTCTAACATGTTTAAACTAATTTTTTTCGTTTTTCACCGCAAGAAAACATGTGGAATAATTCTCATGGTTTGTATGACGAACTGATATAAGCTAGACCACCACTGGAAGCTTGTATGCAGTGGATGATCGAACCCAGAACTTCTGGTCATATACACTAGCCGGTACGGGGTCAGGCGTCTGTGGTTCAGGGATTCGCGCGCAAGACAGAGGGTCCCACGTTTGATTCTTGGATGGAGGACAGTGGACGCGTACCGTTGAGGAGTCCAGTACTGGGACGAAATGCCCATCCAGTGCTTCCAGCTAAGACCAGTTTTGATTAAAAAATGAGTTTCAAAATCTCCACAAATCCCCTTATAGTAATGTAGAAAAACACAAATATTTTGATCACCTGAAATGTTTTCAAGGTCTAAGAGACAAAATTTAGAGAATAATACTACTCAACTTTTTATCATGAATGTGAATTTCAAACTACACTACGGTTAACAATAGATACAATAAATGTATGCTTTCTAATACACTCTTTGATTAATTAGAACTGACAAACAATAGATTGGGAAAATATTTAGATATCTATCCACCAACAAAAGGATAAAACTGACCTATTGTTAAACTGAATTAACTTTACACAAAATTAGTCGCCAATCGGTAGATAAGGTAGTAGATCTTTGTCGACTAAGATGGTTATGATGATATATACTAAACATCCCTAACCACCACCTACATTAATACGCATCATTTCCTGGTGTAGAGTAGGTTGGAGTAAAGTTAAAGGCAACCAAACCAAGAAACGTGGCATCGGTTTATGAATTTATTGACTGTTGAACTGAAAATAATACATATTGAGTAAACGATTAATAGAAATAATCTATAAGAAAGACAAAATGATTATTAATTACTTACTGTCTAGAATACTAGAACATTCAGATGCGAAAAGGTCTATATCAGCAGGACCTAGAGTTCCGTGATGATGTCTTTGCGGAAGACTTAAACTGTAACCATTATTGCAAGCTACAATAAACAAGTGACGATGAACAAAAATTAGATGAATTAAAGAAATAATGAAAATTGGATGAACTGTGTTAAAACTAGAAAGAATATTCTAGAAGTGAAAATGCACATTACTTCTTGTTGGGTCGGCTTCCGGAGAACTTCAACGGAGCCTCCAGAGGCCCACAATGGAGCCGAAGAGTCCTAGCTAATCAGAGTGTGATGGAACGTTCTAGAATTCCAACGTGGCGTGCTACTATTGGTCGGTAGCGTAATGTGTTGTTATCGGATTGGCTGTAAAATGATGTTGATTTAACAGATGCCAAAATCTATAAATACCCATGATTTTCTGTACAAAAATGAACCTTGGGATAAAGTATTTCCTCTTATACTTTTGTCTTCTCTCTGGTGTTCAAGTCGCTGTGTAGTTCTAGTCTGCGGGTTACCGAAATAGCTTAGGAATCGTATATAGCGTTCAACCTATCCGACTTATCAGTGGCGAAGGAGATGAAAACTACAATGAATATTTCCTTGAAGCAATTAGAAGCCTATATGGCGCGTCAAGAAAAGAGAATTGAAGAGTCCCAAATTAGAATCATGGAAACCCTGATGCAGAAATTCTGCCTGTCCCAGCAAAATCCTGCTTCTAGTGAACCTCAAGTATCACATATTGATTCAGTCATTAATGCCATTCATGAATTTAATTTTGATGGTTTAGCAGGTGTGACTTTCGAGTCCTGGTTTAAGAAGTATGAAGATTTGTTTTATATTGATCTTTGCAAACTGGATGATGCTTCAAAAGTGAGAATACTTCTTAGAAAACTTGGGACTATGGAACATGAACGCTATAGCAATTTCATTCTTCCGAAGAACCCACGAGATTTTAGTTTTGATGATACAGTCAAAACCCTGTCCCAAATCTTCGGAGAACAATCATCGCTATTTAATATCCGTTACCAGTGCTTAAAGTTAACGAAAGAACCAGGCGATGACTGGGTGAAACATGCAGGAACTGTGAACCGAGAATGTGAGAGGTTCAGATTGTCGTCCATGTCGGAAGATCAGTTCAAATGCTTAGTATTTATCTGCAGCCTGAGTTCACCCGAAGATGCCGATATCCGAACAAGAATCCTAAGCAAACTTGAAAACTGCCCAAACATGACCCTGCAAGAAGTGACTGCTGAGTGCCAAAGGTTAGTAAACTTAAAGCATGATACTTCAATGGTAGAAAAAGGTAACTCTTTCCATAACGTTAATGCAGTCAAGAGAAAAGTCTATCAAGGTTCCAGTACCCATAATTATCGAAATAACAGCGACAAACCACCATCTCCATGCTGGGCATGCGGAGGTTGGCACTATAAGAGGTTTTGTCCATATAAAGAACATCGTTGCATCAAATGTCATCGGAAGGGTCATAGAGAAAACTGCTGCAGAAAAAGAAGCCATAAACAACATTCTTTGAAACCTTACTCGAAGAAATATAGATATAGTGCTCAAACCAACAAGATATTGGTATCACATAACAGAGCACAAAGTTGCCACCAAAGAAAGTATGTGACCTTGAATATTAATAAACGCCGAACCCGCCTTCAGCTTGACACAGCTTCTGATATTACCTTAATCAGCCCTGAAACATGGAAGAACATCGGAAGACCCACAATTTTTCCAACGACACAGCTGGCACACAGTGCATCCGGTGGGAAGTTACATATTGTTGGAGAAGTGCTATGCACTGTTTCTAAAGGTATGGTAACAACAAATGCAACATTGTATCTTACTAAGAAGCCAGCACTAGACTTAATGGGGTTGGATCTTATAGAAACGCTTAAACTAGCTGATCATTCTATCAACAGCATCTGCAGACGAGTAAGTACAGACAACACCCCAGTGGGGAGCCAGAAAAACGCTATGTTACAAAGACACCAAGACGTTTTTAGAGAAGGATTGGGAGAATGTACGAAGGCCAAAGCACTGTTAACTCTAAAGCCTGCAGCTACTCCCGTTTTTCGACCTAGGAGACCCGTACCATATGCTGCTTTACCAGTGGTTGAACAAGAACTAGAACGACTTCAGAAACTCGGTGTCATTGAACCAGTGAATTTCTCAGAATGGGCCGCACCGATAGTAGTAGTAAAGAAGACTAATGGTAACGTTCGTTTATGTGCCGATTACTCTACCGGTTTGAATGAAGCTTTAGAAACTCATCAGTATCCATTACCCTTGCCTGAAGATCTTTTTGCTAAACTGAACGGAGGTAAGCTTTTTGCAAAGTTGGATTTATCAGAAGCTTATTTACAAATCCCTGTTGCTGACGAGTCTAAAAACCTGCTTACCATAAACACACACAAGGGTCTATTCAGGTATAATCGACTACCCTTCGGAGTCAAGACGGCCCCATCCATATTTCAGCAAATAATGGATACTATGCTACAAGGTGTTTCAGGTGCTGCAGCTTACCTAGATGATATAATAATTATGGGTGTAGATAGAGTAGACTTAGAAAAGAAGCTTGACCAGGTGCTGACGCGAATAGCCGAATATGGACTTCGACTTCGTCCAGAGAAATGCGACTTCTGTATACAAAAAGTACGCTACCTTGGGTTTATAATCGACAAAGATGGAAGAAGACCAGATCCGGAGAATACCCTGGCAGTGAAAACTATGCCCAGACCGACGGATGTCCCCACACTACGGTCCTTCTTGGGACTAGTTAGCCATTATGGAGCTTTATTTCCGAACCTTCATCAATTACGTGCCCCCCTGAATAACCTTCTGGTGAAGAATGTAAAATGGAATTGGTCTGCAACTTGCCAAGCCGCTTTCGATGAAATCAAGAAAGTACTAGTCTCGGATCTGCTACTCACACATTACGATCCATCCTTACCCATTGTAGTGGCATCAGACGCCTCGAATTACGGCATTGGAGCAGTTATTTCTCACGTCATGCCAGATGGATCTGAGAAGGCGATATCACATGCAGCCAGATCGTTAACTTCAGTAGAACGTAATTACAGTCAGATCGAGAAGGAAGCATTATCGATTATCTTCGCTGTCAAGAAATTTCACAAGATGATATTTGGACGTCAGTTCACCCTATTAACTGATCATAAACCATTACTAGCCATCTTTGGGTCAAAGAAAGGTATACCTGCATATACTGCAAACAGACTGCAACGCTGGGGAACTACACTCTTGGGTTATGACTTCAAGATCAAGTACCAGCCCACTACTGATTTTGGACAAGCTGACGCTTTATCTAGACTGATTGGGTCACAAGTAAAACAGAAAGAAGACACTTTGGTGGCAGCAATCGAGACGGAAACAGAAGTACATCGAGTTTTGGAAGACGCAGTTGACGGATTACCAGTTACTTTCAAGGCCATCAAAGAAGCCACTGTAAATGACAAGACTTTAAGAGAAGTTAGTGATTATCTTCTCACCAAATGGCCAAACAATCGCCTCGACGGAGAACTTCTGCAATATTTTCGTCGACGGGACTCTCTAATGGTTGTTGACTCCTGTATTATGTTCGGTGACCGCATTGTTGTTCCGAAGTCATTACGTCACAAGATTCTCAAGCAATTTCACAGTGGTCATCCTGGAATCAGTAAAATGAAATCTTTGGCTCGTAGCTATGCTTATTGGCCGTCAATGGACAAAGATATCGAGAATAAATGCCGTAACTGCTCATCATGCATTCAAGCCGCTAAAAATCCTTCGAAATGCGAACCCCAGTGTTGGCCTATGCCCGCGGGACCTTGGGTAAGACTTCACGCAGATTTTGCCGGTCCAATTCAAGGGAAAATGTTTCTGATTATCGTAGATGCATTCACTAAATGGCCGGAAGTATACATCATGCCAAATTGTACAACGTCAGAAACGATCCGCAAGTTGTCTACCCTATTTAGCAGTTTCGGAGTACCAGAAACCTTAGTGACGGATAATGGCTCTCAATTTGCCGCAGAATCGTTTAAACATTTCTGTAGAACAAACGGAATAAATCATCTTCGTTCTCCACCCTATCATCCACAATCAAACGGACAAGCAGAGCGCTTTGTGGACACTTTTAAACGAGCATTACTCAAAGGGGGAGGAGAAGGGACAACTGAACAGGTGATCACAAAATTTTTAACATCATATAGATCCACCCCAAACCCAAATGTTCAAGACGGCAAATCTCCCGCGGAAGCCATGTTTGGAAGGCGTATTCGAACAGTCTTCGATGCCATGTTGCCATCCAAACGAGTGAATGAGCATAGTCACGATCCAAGTATCCGGAACTTCAGTATTGGCGACAAAGTCTACATTAAATCCTATGTCGGAAAGAACCGGTGGGAGCCAGGCGAAGTTGTGCAAAAACTGGGAAGAGTACTGTACAGAGTTCGAGGAGCTTTTGGGACATGTATACGTCACACAAATCAAATCCTTAAAGACAAAAGAACGGTGCAGACTCGAAACGCACCAATGCCGCGAACGCCCAGGAACACTGAAAAGAAGCCTTGGACAAGAAAAACGACAATGGGACGCCGTCGCAATCCAGTTATCAAACTTCAAGTGGATCCCAGAAAGAAATCTTATTCGGGGGAGGTGTTGGGTCGGCTTCCGGAGAACTTCAACGGAGCCTCCAGAGGCCCACAATGGAGCCGAAGAGTCCTAGCTAATCAGAGTGTGATGGAACGTTCTAGAATTCCAACGTGGCGTGCTACTATTGGTCGGTAGCGTAATGTGTTGTTATCGGATTGGCTGTAAAATGATGTTGATTTAACAGATGCCAAAATCTATAAATACCCATGATTTTCTGTACAAAAATGAACCTTGGGATAAAGTATTTTCTCTTATACTTTTGTCTTCTCTCTGGTGTTCAAGTCGCTGTGTAGTTCTAGTCTGCGGGTTACCGAAATAGCTTAGGAATCGTATATAGCGTTCAACCTATCCGACTTATCACTTCTGATAATAGAAGCAAAAACACTTGATTGTTGAACAATTACGATACATTATACAAACTTAGTAACACTAAACAAACTGAATACAAAGAGAAAAAGGATTATATACTTGAGCTAATAATTTTTTGGAATGAAACGGTTACCAATGAGTTCTTAAGTACCATTATCACGGTTAGATTTGATAATTTTAAATAAACTGAGTATTGAGAAGAATGTTGATAATAAAATAATGATATTCCAATAATTAGAAATTATAATTTCTGACGTTTCGTGACTAATCGTAAGCCACTTTTTCAGAGTAAATAAATAATTGAATTAAATTAATATAAGTTTAAAACATTATCCAATGGAGTGTAGATATTATAAATGTAATTACTACAGACAATTACTAAAGTGTGTTCTGAAATTATTTTATTATTGAGATTTATTTAAAGACAAACAAGGACAATTGGTTCGTGAAGGTTTACAGATATTTACTTTCCATCAAGTACGGAACTAGAAGTATGGTATTTCAAGTAAAGCTGAACGGACAACATGCTGTCTTAAAGGCATACTGTAAGAGAGATATAAGTTTGGTGTTTGATTAGGAATAAATGAAATTTTGATCTAATTCGAATGTTACTTTCACTCTGGCAAATTACGTAGTCGTAATTACTTCGATTTTGCCCGTTTAAGCTTCTTTCGTAGTCTTGCTGTCCTACATAAACAGCAAAAGTTGAAGTGAACAACAGAGCATAAGATAATAGTCGGTTTAGTGAATTGATCGAAGTTCAGAATGGTTTATAACTCCAAAGTCGTTTATGTGCTCTAATATGAACAATCCAAATTGTTACAACTGCTCTAGGTAAAGCAAGCTACAAATAGGGTAATGACTGTTGATGAGAGGAGACATGATTTTACACATACAGTGTTGAGTAATAAAATTGTCTGAGGGCGAAGTCGTACTGCTGACTGCAGAGGGGTGTGACAGCAGTAAAGTGTTTCCCTCGGACAACCGGCATCTGCAGCGATGCTGCATTTTTACAAGGAAGGAAGGGGTTAGAAAAGGTCGACCCTAAAAATGTCACACCTCACCTTACCTCACGGATTTCCGTCTCCAGCGGTAAGGCCCTTTGAAGAACCTCCCACAAAAAGGCCGTGCGCGACCGGCCTCAAGCAGTTGTCCCTTGGGCTCTGCGGTCACGCTCCCAGGTCGTTAAGGCCAACATTAATCCAACTTCCTTTTTAGGTTCCTCAAGAAATACCCTTCCCCGGTGTGGGCAGCCGGGAAGTGATATCAGCCCTCATACCCGTAACAGAACACGAGACCAAGTCGGTCACATTCAAATTCTTCAAATCAATAAAATTGTTCTAATCAGACATGATAATTTTACCACAACCGAATCTACAGAAACCTAATGACAGAATAGAGGATTAGAATATTACACAGAACAATTTAAAGACTAATTTGATCGTTAACAACTTTACAAAATATCTATAACATCGTTTACATGATTTTAACATACCGAATGATTAACTGTAAGTGAGAATAAGTCAGATATGCTAGAGATAACTCACTGTGGAATAACTAAGCCTAAAGGTAAAAATGAGATTTTTAAGACTGTGAAAAAAACAAACCATAAAGATAACCCAAAACACTAAAAAGACATACATGGAAAAAGTTTAAACCCTGCGGTTTCCTGTGGTAGATCTGTGAAATCATCCAACTGCAGATGTTGTTTCTGAGGGGTGTGAGACCTGACAATCTAAATATGAGTGAACAAAGGGAAAGAATAGAGAAAACACTTCAAATAAATTATAAAGGAAGTAACTGGATTCGACCATCTTCAATAATACTACTTTTTTCTATTATCAGTAACGGGTTTTTAGTATAAGAGAAAAAAGGTATCGACTTTATTTATAAGTTCATTCTTTTCTCAACAGGATGATTAACTGAACAAGTCGTAAATACACTATAAATTTTAAACGAAAGTAATACGAATCAGTTGAAATTACAAATGTGAACTATTGAATTCCAGTTCAGTGGTTTAAAGGTTGAGTGCCTATTGTACGACCTGTAAGCCCTGTGTTCGATCGACGGTGAGGTTGTGCATGAGAACTGTTGAGGGATTTCATACTAGGACGAAACAGCTAACCAGTGCTTCCTGTTCTTTGATGGTTGTCTAACGCAACTCATTCTGTAGTGCGGGACAACAAATAACTAAGTTGAAGATAAATTTTTGAAGACAGTCTTTAAAAAACTAACAAACGAAGAAATTAATGATGAGCTAGTGTTAAATAGTCTAAGTATGAAAAATAGTAGCTTACCAATGTAAGCAGAGTTCGAACTGGTTTCCTGATAGTTGGCAAACCATTATTTACATTCTTTAACAAAATTTCCAAAGGACTCGAGAAATACTACGTTGTTAGTGCAGTCTGCACATATATACCATTTACATAAATCAGTTGTCTAATGATAATCAATGATATCTACTAGTGCTAAATACTGATTAAACTATTATTGTCTTCAATCACTCAATACTGAATACAGTCCAGGACTGGATCAAATTAACTTACAAATATAATTATCATTACAAAATGTTACTATTTTTGACTTGACATGTAGAGAAATAAGGGTTCTGAAAAAATCTAAGTAATCTCGCTTTAAAATAAAACAGTGGCAGAGAACCACAAGTAACGTTAGCTTCTCAGAGGTCAAAGATGTTTTATATAAGTAACTCCTAACTGAAAATTGATTGGCACTAATGATTCATATATTATATATACCACTTTAATGCACTCCGTATGCAAAAACATGACCCAGAAGAAAAGATTTGTATTTCAGGAGAGTTACATCCTCTGAGTAAGATTTTTTAGTGAAAACCTATCATTTTTGTACTAGAAATAATCTTCAGTCATTAAAATGAAGCGTGTGCAAATCAATGACATAACTAAAGCACTTCTGTCAAATTTTGGCCTCTGATGTATAATGCTAATAGTCATAATCGAATCGAGAATCGAAATTTCCAAGTATAATACTCACAGCAATTCAGGTAAAGACGCACGAAATCTAACGCGTAGTCAGAATCTAAGCAGGTGCTCACAAAAGAGTGCGAATGTTTCTTCCACTCAAATTACCAAGAAATATAACTACATTAATAATTTCTGGACAAGTTTGGACTAACGGCAATAATTTGCGGATGAGAGAAATTCAACAATGCACTAATGGCATTTACGCAAATAAAGCTTAAGTTTCAAAGTTGTGCGTGAAACGATTTTCTTAAAATTAAATACTAAAAGAGTATTTTTTAGCACTATTTTTCCTAACTGTAACAAATATTTTTTTATAGTTGAGATCATGAGTCTATTGATGCTAGACCGCCAAGGAAAACCTAGAATCATTGGAAATATTTTTTACTTTAGTACAAAGCAGTAAACGTTTAAGTAGAATTATAAATTTGTGAGTAATAGGAGGAGGAGTTGAAATATATGAAGTAAAAAATAAATGCAATAGAAGTATATATTCATGTTTGACATCAACAATACTTTAGAGGAATATTAGACTAAACCAAAGAAATGATTTAGGTAGCCAAAATTTGGATTAATTAATAAGAATTCATTCAGGAACGTTGATGATAAGCATCATAACACACATAAAAATAAACCGATCTACATTATTAAACAGGTAACTACTAGGTTATATAATTACTTGGATCACATACAACAAGGTTAAGGTCTTAACTAAATAAATAATTTATGAAAAACTGATTCACAAACAAGACGGCTTACATTTTTTCCAAAATCTATGTTTAGATTATTGACACTAATAGTTTTACTGCAAGATTTGTCTTGTTTTATATCCTCAGGATCCTTACACGTTAGAGCCTCTTCATCTTCAAGATCACTGGCCTCTGAAAATACTTCGTCATTTTCACTTTCTTCTGCTTCATCGTCAGCAAAGAGACAAGGACGCTGTCTTGAAGCCTTTTTACTACCAACCACTACATTGTCATCTTCCTCATCGTCGTCAAGTGACTCACTTCCCTCTTCTTCTTCTTCTTCGCTTTCACCATCACTGCTACTTTCTTCCTCGGTAGTTGAGTTTCCATCAGATATTTCACTATCGTTTACATCCCCTTCTGACCATTCTTCGTCACTATTGGATACTTCCTACAAAAACGTAATATATTATAAACAATTATACGGTAGTAAAAAAATCAACTAACTCCTTATTGACTAGATAATTACTCTAAAAAATTTTTAGTTCGATAAGGATATATTGTAAACAGAGAAATTAGATGAAAACACATCTGACGACAAAAAAACAAAGAAAATAAATATTGAAATATACTGTAATAATATAATAGTCGAATACAATTATTTTTTTTTAGTAATGCCACCATTTGTGATGTCTTCGCATTAATAAACACAATCGCTAGAATAAAAGTTATTAAGGAGGCATAGTGGATATCTTACTCAATAAAGAAATTAAAATAGTTCAGGCAATAAAAGTATTCATTAAAAATGACTGACTACTTCTAAACTAAATACTCTTATCTGATGAAGATCTTATTTTCGACACATTCATTAGAAAGAAATTGTGATAAGATTACTTTTGTATGAATAATTTCTATTGATTTATATTTGATTGTACAAAAAGTCAGTAATGAGCAAGTTAACGAACTATTTTCTTTTACAATAATTCTGCTTATCTGACTTTAACTTTTGTGTTTACGTAAGATTATAATTTTTCAGTATGAAATAAATAATCATCCATTTTCATTTATCAGTTTAAATTGAATGTAATGCAATGGAAAGCTTCAAAAGTAACTTTCGTATTGTTAAAGATATATGTACAAAGACTTCACTGTTATCGGATGATTTCACTGAAATCAACTATCTTAGTTACAAGAAGTAACATCTTACATTCGGGACAGTAGTTCGAATACGCGTATTCTAGTATCAAATGCATACTATTAAGTAATTAACCGCTGAATAATAGTCAGAACACCTCATGCAAATTAGCGACTTATATGCAGACGTGGCTAGTGGCTAGCAATGAAACCCAGGATGAGCGTTTAATCCTATTTGGGATTCGTCAGCTAGGTTTACCTGTGTATCCACGAGTTGATGCTTACTACAGAATTCAAACCCAGTACCGTTTGCTTTAAACGCCATCGTGTTATCCACCTAACTATTGAGTACAGAAAGCCAACGGGTTGTGCAATGGGGTAAAGTTTAATTCATTTGTATTGATTTTTTGAATCTTCCCACAGAAGCGGGTACATCTAACTAACGGGTTCAAATAGGAGAATATGCAGGTTCTGGATTTTACTGCTAACCACCATACACTTCCGCTTATTATAGTTGTGACTTTATGGTAATATCGAGACAATCCGCACAGGATCCAAATATGACAAAAAGAGGCTGATCAAATGCAGTCCTTAACATCAATGGCAGGATTCAAACAACGTACACAAGTGAATTAACGACTTACACTTCTGGAAAATTTCAAAATCCGTAACAGTATTTAACTCATAAACAAAAAGGATCAGATTAACCTACGACCAAATAGTTTCAGTTCTAGAGTGGATAATTCAATGGCAACGTCTCTTGACTGCGAAGCTGGATAGTACAAGGTTGAATCCCAAATAAAAATCAGTTCGTGTAGTATTGCAGGTATACTTTACTGATGAGTGCTAAATAGTATGAGATCTAGGTCTAGGGTAACTTGTCGACTACTTCCCAACCACCATTTTAAAACTTAAGATATTCAATAGTTAAAACATTAAAAAAGAATATAATAAACGCAATACAAACAACATTACGATCCAAATACTACAACGAACCCCAGTATTTTCACTTGTTGACTTTGGACATGTACCCTCTTCCTTTAACCGCATTTCATACTGCTCTAGTCTTTTTTGACGCATTTTTTCTTCGAGAACTTTTCTGTGTTCCAACCAATGTTTTCTACTAACTGACATAGTTGTTGATAATCCTTTGGATGGTTCATGTGTAACTGTTTCTACCTGTAGTTCTTCACGTTCAGCGTCAGTGCTTTGTACCTTAACATGAATAAAATTATAAAACCAATAGACATGCTAAATTTGGAAAGAATAGAATGTAAATGCGCATGGAACAAAAGTCAACATATTGTTATACAAAAAGGATTGATTGAATGAATAAACACTGCATATATTTTATATCTGTTCAATCCATGAGTTTAACTACACAGTAGAGAATAGTTCAAAAAAGTTATGTATCTCCAGTTCCCACACTGCTCAACAAGTACATAGAAAATACAGACATAAAGATCAAAGAACCTACAATGAACGAGAATGAAGAGGATTATCGTGTAGTGATGTTAAATTGTGCAACTTTCGGAGCAAAGCCAAGGGTGAATATCTCTGAGTTAATAAAGATAATAGGAATAACAACAATAAAACATCCTGAAATCAGCCTGCGAACAATTATACTTAGTTATAGTGATATTAATACATGAGGATAAAGTTTGGATGGAAAATTCTTACACGGATTCTACTTTTACTAAAAATATTTTGAGTCCAGGTCATGATGAGTGGAATTTCAGTGTTACCTATCTGTAAAAAAGTAAAACAGTTCGCCGACCAAAGAACATCTGAGCGAATGTGGTATTAAATTGGGAAGTACTATTATTATGAATTTAGGGTAATTTGAGTATAACCAATATTACACCATGCACAGGACTATAAGATTAACTATATGAGTCGTACATTACTAGCGGCTCACTGCCAGGGTTTTATGATACAATTTTATACAGACCGATGCATTTTCCTGGTAATTATCTACGGAGTAGCCTAATAAACTCGTTCGGTCTGGGCACCCGGGAAGTATCACAGCCCTCACATATATCGAATGAGATTTGTGTGGCGCATATGTATTTGGTGCCTCTTTGTACCAATATCTATGTGTTGAAATAAATAATAAAAAAATAAATCAACGGATATCCCAATTATTTGTTACTACTTTTTTTGTTAACCGCTTTGACTGTATTGCACTACAGTAATCCCACAATAAATCAGTAGTACAAGTGAAAAAAATTCAATTCGGGTTAGGACTCCTTAAAAATAATCACACGTAGTATATTCAGAAATAGAACTCAAAACCATACAACAACCATGATATTACTGAAATACTGAAAATTGGTATTTTTTACGTTTAATTAATTGATCAGATATAGTAATCGTTTCTTTATTTGGGAGCAACCGTCCTGACGGATTGAACTATTTCGGTTTGATAGAATTCACTGAACGTTGCTTTTTTCATAAACCACTACTTGATATAGACAAGCGCGTAGTTTTCTCTTGAGAGCGTAAAGACAGGAGGGATTTAAAATTAGGACTACAGTGATGCACAGAATTTGGGAATAGTAAAAGAAATCTCATAGTGATATGTCCTCATACAAATACATGGGACATACCTTTGTTATGATTGAATATTGGATGGGTCCACGTACAACTTTTTCATGAGACACGTGAAGATGAGATTTTAAACGAGCCAATAATTGACTAGGAGTTACAGATGACATTGGAGTAGGGATTGATTCACCTTGAATAAGTTAGTGTACAACAAACAATGAAGAAAGAAGTTATTTTTGATGACATAAAAGTTGACAAGATCATTCGCAGAAAATGAGATGAGATAAAAAAAAACTTGGGTATGAATAGGCTTTCAAGCGGTATGAACTGTTATAGAACTATCTAATGGATACATATTGTAGAGAGTAACCTATATATGAACTTTCCAATCCACCTTTATAAAGTTTCATCGAAGTAAGGCCCACTCACCTTTACATGTATACTTTGAGAGGTACTTCAAAATATTCTAATAATTATGATCTAGAAGAACATGTGAAAACTAGGCTTTAACAATAGACATAACGCTGGTAGATAAATAACTGGATAAAAATAAATTAAAGAGTACAAAACTGACGCTAGGTAAAATAGAAAAAAGAACATCTATTCCTACCTAGATCTATGAAAAATTCTTCACTTTCATCATTTTTCAATTTTCTCGCAGCAAGGCGAGGTAACAGACTGGTTATATTATCTGGTTCGCTTGTAACATCGAGTGATGGTTTGGCATCAGATGACATTGATGGTGGTTCCAAAGTGGTGCAATCAATATCGACAGGATAGTCGGCTGAACAGCATTGTGAGACGAATGGTTTGGTATCCATTTTATTTTCAGTCTCTTTATCTTGGGTAGATTGTCCTGGAATTGGAGGAAGATGAGCGTTACAATCGGAAAGTAATCTGAAATAAATAAAACAAAGCACAATATTCATATTTTGTGCTGTTTAGTAAGAATCGTATTCTATCTAATAATATGATCGGAATTTTTTTCTAGAATTAAGTTACACCGTAGTTGATACTCATCATGATTAATAGACCGATGATATCATTAAGCCCATGAAGACAAGCATTCATGACCAAATATTGAAGACGTATAAATTTGTTGTTTACGAACTTGAGAGGACGAAAAGCGAATGTCCGGCGCTTTAACCGGATTCCAAACCAACGGTGCACATGGGCTCCAGTATCCTGCGGGAACAAATGGCGTATTAACCAATTGTTGGTCACCGGCTTTCATGGGACTGCATCTCCCGACGATGCTCCACTGCCTTGTGGGTTAGACCTTTAGGTCAAAGGCTCGGAGTGGGGCCCCCTAAGATAACCACCTGCTTCGGTCTGAGCACCTGGGCAGTATCACAGCCCACACACAAATGATGAACTGCCTACAATTATGGAAACTATTTTTATTGCTTTAACTAACAATCAAATGATTCAAATTATTATTATTATTTACTTCACCATTATTCACCCTCTTTTATTCCTACTCTGTCTATACTTATTCTTTCGACTTATACAGCAGCTCGTCTATGGTGGAAATTCGACTGTATCTAAACGTTCTCGAGTCACTGTCCGAAGAACAGTAAAAAAGTGTCATCAGGGCGTTCAGTAAGACTGATCAAAAGTTAGGTAGTTTATATATATATGTATTCCTTTATTTAGAATTCGAAAATTTGAGATCATCATTCTAAACCTTTTATTTATAATTGCTTTATTTATTAGTGTTTATTACACTAACGAATTTTCGCCAGAAGATATTGTAACAAGACTCATTTAATCTGCGTTTACAACGTACATATATATGATTTTAAAGTTACTTTTAATGTTTTGTTCTTACTACCTCTTTTCTCTATATAAATTAATTTTAAACATGGCAACTTAAACAAAGAAACCAATGTAAGATTCTACATTGCTCAAGTCAATAATAACCTGTCGAATAGAAACATATTTAAAAGGATACTTTATTGAGGAACACGAGTGATTAGAGATCATCCACGATTTGGCCATGCAAAGTCTAAGTATATTTTGTTCAAGATAGCATCGAAACAAGTAAGGAGTACCGCAAACCAACTCATTCACTTAGCATATAGTCTTCATTCAATCTAACACTAGGTTAAACAGTCACGCAATGAACCATCGCTCGAAATAAAACCGAAGACCAGAAACTGATAAAAACATTATAAGAATAAATGTCGGATATGTTGTTTGATCAAAGTAACTATTTACCTCTATAGTTTCAAATTATTTTTGTATCAACTTGGTATTAACAGACAGAACCAACGCTCCCCTCTACGTTCAGAAAATGAGCATGTACAAGCAAAACATACAACTGCTGGACGACTAAATTAACAGTCTGAACATTACTTAGTAATTTATTGAGCCATAGTTGGATATCACCAACAAATATGTGAAATTATTTCAGATGTTCGTTAAGCTTTTAGAAATGTTATACCCAGGCTAGAGAGGTTCAATTTATTAACATGATGTAGAGGATTGACATTCATCATGTCAAAGTACGGAAATTATGTCTACTAGTATTTGACTGATCTGTCTAGTCATCAATGAGAAAGAGCCCTAGTGTGAATAAGTGTCGCATTATGTCAATCATTAGGTGTTAGTGGGATAGAATTTTGACGAATCTAAATACGATAATCAATCCACTGTCAACTAATAAGCGCTAGGGGAAGAATAAAAAATAAACTGTAAGTTTCCCATATAAATTCCATACAGGCATGTTTTTCTGTGTTGTTTTCCCAGTTTAGCGGAATATATTTTATATTTAATACTTTCTACTCTGGTCACAATCATCAACAAATCTCTCACTGCGAAACTGGACTTTTTACTCTAGTTAACTCAGAAGGAAAAAAGAGGGCAGAAGTGATCTCGTTCATTGTACTTAAATTGGAGTTACAAAATACTAGTTTAGTGCCCAAACATATCAGTAGCAATAAGTTTTACATTAAACACCAAATATTTGTTCATAGGACAATAAATATAACTCAACAAATTCAGCACATGAAAACACTCCAATATAAAAAAGACTTACTTATTCTGAGATGAGGTTTCATGACCTTTGGTTTCATTTGACTTGCAACCTTTTAGAGACTGACGAAACTCACTGAAACATTTAAATTGTTTAGGTCTATGAACTGGTAAATGTACATCAGCTTCTACAACGTAAACAAACAAAATTAACTAAAATGTCTAACTGACCTCGTACAAGTCGTTGTGATTCACTATGGATTTGAAGTCTTTCTTCTTCTATGTTAGTTGATTTAGAATGACTTATTTTGCGCCCGCCAGATTTACTTTTAGATACCTTTTTAGCTGCACCCTAAAAAATTACAATTGCTTCTAAGAATACTTACAGAGCTAAGTGTCCAGCGACCAACTTTTTCTTTTGTTTCTTCAATATCATCTTTAATAGTCCATAACTCATTATTTTCATCAAATGAATGTATTTGATTTGAAGGTGGAGAATCAACATTGTTATCACACTCATCACTTAATTCACTGTCGACAAGATCAAGTGGTAAGACCTGGGAAAGTAATAAGGTAGATAAATAAATTGCAGGAATAAAATTAACTAAAAGGAATATGATTTTATGCCTAACAATACAAACTCTAAGTTCATCCAGTTGTTTATAATCAATGCAGAGTCTCAAACAGACATGTGCTGTCCCAACTTTCAATTTATTCCTCAACGTAGTTAGATGGGATTAACAAGATAACATATACTGGCTATGGTATCACGACCATTTGGCTTTTAAGTTTTATTAAGGGGAAAAGAGGACTTATATATGTAAAATGGTAAGTATGAAAGTTTATTAACGTAGGAGACAATCTCATACGAACATTAAAAGGACAAAACACTTTTGGATAACAGATCAGACCCTTACTGGGCATCAAATATCTAACTTCTGCTTCTCACTACATACATTCAAATTTTAAACTATCTAGGTTAGATATTCCAGAAGAAATCTCTGGATAATCAACTGGTGCAATAATGCTTCCAAGACCACAACCACAATAGGTTGATTGCCGTAACGTAGAACCTAGTATATGCGGTAAGGTCAAGTATAAATCGTTGAAACGGATTTCTTTATCGATTAGCCTCAGGTTTATCCTTTTTAGATGAAATCATGCCAAAAACTCTAAGTCAACCAAATATACAGGCTTAGATATATTAGTGTTAAACACTTGCTAGGTTCGTATTTCAGTCACACAAATCGCCACCACCACAAGACTCAAAAAGAGTCAGATAGAATATTCAATCTCTGGACTATGACCAGAAGCGAGAACTTGGTGACCGAGAAAAAGAATTCGAGATGTGAAGATTTACTCCGAGTATTTGCTACAAGATTTGATAATGCAGATGTCCGATTGGTTAATAAGGTTCAAATTCCCATCAGCTTTTCTTTAGTTTTAATTTAGAATTCAATGCTTATGGATCCTGACAGTTAGGCTACTTAATGAATGAAAACTGTTGGCTTTTATGTACTAAAACCAACAATAATAGGCTTCTATTTCATTCTACGTCAATGAATGCAGCGTCAGCCACAGGTTCGTTTACTTAAGAAAGACAAATAAAGCGCATTAGTATTTTAAATCCGTGATGTATGATCAGCGAAAGCGAAGGCAAAACAGCCCAGATCCACTGAACGTAAGGTTGTTCTACACGTGCTCTTCTCTTTTGTATATTACCAACATTGAAGTAGCTACTTCCATGAATTCGGTGTTCATCTTGTTGTGCTAGTGAGGTGTGACAACTTAAACCGATGCATGTATGAGCCTGGTCCTACGTTGTAGCTGACTGACTGACATGTGCTCTGGTAGGAAAAATCTTTATTCCTCCTCGAAATAATCATATAAGGTTAGATATTTACAACCTCCAAGGACTTCCTACTTACTGTACTAATATGAAAGCGGGGGCTCCTGGAGGTCATGTAACTCAGTGGATTTACATATTAGGTATAATTCGAAATAGAAGTTAGCGAACTTTGTCACTTCACATAAAAATAAGGACTCCCTTAACTGACAGTCGTTTTTTTGGTTGTATTTTCAAATGAAATTAATCTCCAATGATGTTATTGTTTACTTTTCGTTTGTAATCCCTTCTTCATTTCTTTACGACGTTATCTTTATTTTGAGTGTAGTATACGTTTTTAGTAACCAGTTATACCAGAATTTGTGTATAAAATAAAATAAGAAATAATACCTGAGATACTTGCATATAAACAAACCCTGGATAAAGTACAAATAGTAATAATAAAATATGTAGCACTGCTTACATACCGACTTCTTCACATTGCTTTCAGGAGCTATTTCTTTTACATTGAAAGCCTCTATGGACGATAAATTTTCCGCAGTAGACGAAAGAGAATCGAGCATTTGTTCGACCTTATAATACAGCAAACAAGAGTGATTAGAAGTTACATATTTATGTATACTTAATGAGTTCGACTTCATTCTTTAGAAAGACGGGACATATAATTGAAAGTACGGACTGATCTTCCAAAACGGCGTGAAAATAAAAGTTTCCTACTTGAAGACACTATGCTTTACAAGGCTCCTGGGAAGTTCCTGACATCCATCGATTTAACATGGTGTATTTCAAAAAACGTTCATTTTTTAGACGTAGCATTTCACAAACCTAGTACAGAAACCACGAAACCCGAAGATCAAAACTCTTTTTCGAAGTAAAAACGACATTAAGAGTTTTTCCATCCGAGCACTAACAGGAACAAATTAAATGTCATTTAGGGAATTCGCAAACAGAAAGGTGAGTCTATTAGCGACTTCCTGAAAATCCTGATCAAAATGTCCCACAGCAGGTATAAAAATGTGAACTTACACAAAAATATATTAGTCCAAGTGACAGGACTTAGTAACGTCATGGAGAATAAAACAGCAAAAGTAAATTCCAATTCTCTATATATCAGACTAAGGCCTATTCAAGGGTGGTCGTTAGTATTGTTCGAAGTTGGGTAAAGTGAAAAATTTGTATATGCCTCTTAACGCTCCTGATAATCGAATATTCGTTGCCTAATTTGCAGTCAGGGATGTGACGAAGAATGAGGTAAAGTAATATATGGATGATGTGAGGGAATATTATTTCTTATTATTTTATTCAAACACAAACATTGTTACAAGGAGGCACCAGATAGATATGCGCCACATAAGTCATTCGATTTGTGTGATTGCTGGGGTACTACTTGGGTGCCCGAACCGGAGCAGGTGGTTTTCTTAGGGGCCACACCCCGAGCCATTGACCGGAAGGTTTGATCCACAGGGCAGTGGAACAACGTCAAGAGATGCAGTCCCATGGTAGCCGGTGACCAACAATAGATTCATACAGCTTTTGTTACCTTAGGATCATGGAGCCCATGAACACCATTGGTTTGGAATCAAGGTTTCCCAACTCACCTAGTTGGATCCTTCATATCTACCGACCCGGTTAAAACGCCGGAAATTCGATTTTCGTCTTCTCAATTTGGGAAACCGAGGACGAAGGTTATAAAGCCAGTGATTGTGGTGTTCACAAAGTCTGAAGTTTTCAACATTATGAATTGGCAGTACACCTTTGTTTAGCTACCACCGACTCTCTTCATACTATGTGGATCATTACGAAGAAGCAATCACTCGGGTGGCTTGTGGCATTACTAATCTTGAAACTGTAGAGCCTGAGATAAGCAGAACAGATTTTATAGCCACTAGTATTTGTTTTTATAGTTTAAACTACGCTACCTGGGTCCACTACCAGATTTATAAAACCTATTGGTAGGCACAAAGTATCAATACAGTGTTTGGACACAGCACATTCAAAAGTCTTGGGTGGAACCATTATTTATGGACTACCTTTGAGTGAACTTAGTTACCTTGAAAACGTCCACCTACTAACTAGGACTAAATGAGGGTTATAAATCAGTGTGAGGGATTAGAATTATGATTTACAATTGATGGTTAAGGTTAGGACTAAGATTTAGGGTTTTCATCACGAACTGACATCAGCAATAATGCTAAGGCTCAATCTAGCCAAATGGATCAGTGAATCTTGAGCCGAAATTCAACACTCGTTATTTTATACCTGATTGGTCATAAATTATAGTCTAACCTGGAAAACTAGAATACAACCCCGCCTTCTCGTGACGGAGGTGTTGTTTACTAAAATGAGAAGACGAAAAGCGAATGTCCGGCGCTTTAATCGGATTCCAAACCAACGGTGCACATGGGCTCCAGTATCCTGCAGGAACAAATGGCGTATGAATCAATTGTTGGTCACCGGCTTTCATGGGACTGCATCCCCTGACGATGCTCCACTGTCTTGTGGGTCAGACCTTCAGGTCGAAGGCTCGAGGTGTGGTCTCCTAAGAAAACCACCTGCTTCGGTTTGGGCATCCGGGCAGTATCACAGCCTTCAGTAATAAGGATAGTAGGCTGATAAACCTGTATTAATCCTGACACACTGCTTTCCAGTGAAGGTCCAGCTTCTCCTTGAAAGTATTCACTGATGGGGCTGATACCACTTGTTCGGGTAAGGCGTCCCAATGATTGACTACTCGATGAGAAAAACGGCGCCCCACTTTAGGTTTATTAGATCGTGGTTTATGAACCTTCTTGCTATGTCCTCGGAGATTATTAGTGCTGGAGGGAGCAAAAAGATCAGACATTAACACCCAAATCATAATTAAAGATACGAATTGCCAGTATAAGGTCACTTCGTGTCCTACGATACGACAAGGGGAAAAGGTTTAGGCGTTTTAAACGCTCATCGTAAAGGAGTCTAGAAAGATCCTTCACTAATTCCGTTCCCACACGCTGGACACGCTCAAGGGAGTTAGTATCCTTTACGAGATACGGGCTAGCTGCTTGGATACAGCTTTCTAAATGTGGTCTTACATATATGGAAGATAAAATTCGAAACGCTTCCTCGTCAAAAGATTTGAACGTTCGGCGAAGTGACCATAACGCACGAAAACCTTTGACAGCGGCTGCTTTGCAATGCGTAGTTGTTTTTAAATCATGACTTAATACTACTCCTAAGTCTTTATGCTCTTGAACGCATGGAAGAGGTTTACCCTCAATAGTATAACGGTAACTATTACCGTGACTGATGTGCATTAGCACACTCTTCCTAGCATTGAATTCTAAGCCCCACTCTCGAGTCCATCTAACTAAATCGTCTTAGTTAGCTTGAAGATCGAGATGATCAGCCGCAGTTTTTATTGTTCTCCAGATTTTAACATCATCCGCAAACAATAATGTCGACGACCTAAGTAACAGCGGTAACTCATTAACGTAGAGAAGGAAGAGCAGAAGGCCTAAGATGGTGCCTTGGGGTACACCACTTTTGACCGGCTTCCAATCGGATAGCGTCCCGTTGACCCTCACTCTCTGTCTGCGGTCACATAAGAAGTTTCCTATCCACTCATGTACAGTACCTATTATTCCGACGCTCGTGAGCTTCTGCATAAGACCTACGTGTGAAACCTTGTCAAATGCTTTGCTAAAATCTATGAATATCACATCGACATACAGACCGTTATCTAGGGCTTCTGTCCAACCCTCTCTCGCAGTAAGCAAGTTAGTCAAGCATGAACGCTTGTTACGAAATCCGTGTTGCTCATGAGCTAACAGATTGTGTAAATCTATGTGGCTTAGCAACCTAACCCGAATTATCTTTTCAAGTAACTTAACGACTATGCTAGTTGGACTGACAGGTCGGTAGTTAGATACTATCTGTCTCTGACCGTTCTTAAATATAGGACTGACTATAGCGTCCTTCCAATCTCTAGGGAGTTGAGCGAGTGAAAGGGACATGTTGAAGTGTCGCGAGCGGTTTTGAAATAATGTCCGCAAGAGATGACAGCAACCGTGGATGTAACCTGTCAGGGCCCGGCATCTTACTGGGTTTGAGGTTAGTTATCAACGGAAGGACAGTTTCCTCAGTCACCTGTACAGATTCAATGGTTGGTATCTCGGTGTGAGTGGGACAAGTATTTGTTACAATAAACGTAGACTTCGCTAAAATAGTTTGAAAAAGTCTCAGCTTTTGCTCGATCTGATTCAGCTAGTATATCTGAATTTTCGTGTAACAGTAACGGGGGAATACCATCACCACGTTTCATTCGCCGTTTAACATACGAAAACAATCGTTACGGACAAGTACGGCTATCATATACTAACTGTCGTTCGTAAGTGGTACGGGATTTGGCTATGGTTTTCTTACAGACATTACGGAATTTTCGGTACTCACGCTTAATTGGTGCATGACCTGTCAACAAGAATAAGTCCCAGAAATGTTTCCTACGCTTTAACAGCCTTCGAGTTTCCTTATTAATCCATGGAGAGTAATGTGATAGCTTACGTGCTGACCATGGGATAAACGGCGACATTACTGACTCGAATGTAGCCTTAAACTTATTCTATTCATCTTCAATCAATCGATCCGCGTCAACCGACCAATCAGTCGAGATGGCACAGTTTCTGATTGCCGGAATATTGGCTCGCCAGATATTGGGACGGAGTGGAGCAGATAAGAATTGTATACCATGTGTGAAGTACATGTGAATTACAAGCCTTCACACATATTACCTGAAATTTGTGTGGCGTAAATGTATTTAGTGCCTCTTTTTACCAATATCTATGTGTTGAAATAAATAAATAAATAAAATATACAGGAATAACCCAATCTCCCAATTTGACCCATTTTGGGAAAGCCACTATAGAAACTTTTTGAGAACTGACACCAGAACCCCGGAATCCCCTAAGATCTGAGGAAATTTCACAATAAATACACAAAATTTCTCTTAAATCTTAGTGAAAGTCATTTGATTTTGGTAATTTCCGCAAATTTGGGAGATTGGGAATACCAACACGACATTTTGATTTGGTGCAGTCTCATTCTAATAATAACAATCAAATGCAATGATCCTTGGCGCTGATAAGCTTCCCATGATCCACGTTAAAATTGTTGTAATTAGGAATAAAAATGTACACAGATTTACCAGCTCTACACTACTGTCAACATGAGCCTAAAAACATAGTTCCCAAACAGTGATTAATGCATATCTTAGAAGATACTAACACTAGTATAATGAATAGAGATGAATCAAGAAAGAAATATCATTATAGATACCAAAGTTTCTCTACCGTTTGAACTACCCACCACCATAAAAATCCGTACCGGGCGCTTTGGTTTGTTAAACTTATATTTGATTCAAAAAAACAAAATAGTTTCAAATGGTTCTGGGCTAAAAGAAAGAAGCCTATGCTTAACGGAACCTGATATCTATTAAAAGCTTTCAGATAGGAAACTGCTTATGTTTAAAGATAAAAATTGATAAATAATTGTAAAAAACCATTGATATACAGATTCAGATTTGTTTAGTAAGGACAGAAGGCCTACGGCCTTTGTTATTCCTTTTCTTGTATGCTACTGTCAGTGTCCAGTCTTGTTTTGAAAGAGTCATTTGAAGGTACGAACACCAGCGCTTCAGGCAGCAGGTTCCAAATATTGATTACTCTGTGTGAAAACCTGTGTAATGACTCACATTTATCACGAGAACACTACTGGTTTACTAAAAACAATTATCATTATAACCAACTGTACCAGTGTTTGTTTTAATGTGCTGTTGTTTAACTGTGCTAATTATAACCATTTTGTGCATCCATTACCTTTCATTATTGTTCCGCGGTTTTTGCTACTGTTCGCACGTACTCCGTTCTCCTGCTTTCGCTTGTACCGTTCTTGGCACGATCTCGGTATTTACTCGATACCACGAGAACCCCAAACGAATGAATGTGGTTACGCTCAACCTACGCCTTCTGATTTTCTTGGCACGTGTTTTTTGGTAGCGGTGTTCATAGTCAACCTCGACTCGACGCCACGCTACACCTGTATGCCACGGGTATTTTGTTCGTTCTTGGCTTTTCTACTCGCCTGCTATGTCCTCTGATATGTCCCGATCTAGTGGGAAGAAAGAGAGAGAATAAGTTAGATCCGAAACCCTTTCTCAGTATTCTGTACATCAAAATTAGATCTCCCCTTAGTCTGCGATAGGACAGAGTAAACAGGCCCAGTTTTTCAAGTCGCTTTTTGTACGATAAACCCCGGAGTTCCGAAATTGCACGGGTAGCTGCCTTATGTAATTTTTCTAGTATGTCCGAGTCACTTTTTAAACAGGGGCTTGCAGCCTGAACGCAGTTCTCTATCTTAGTTCTCACTAAGGATGTGTATACTGTGGTGAATATGGAAGTATCTAACTTGGTGAATGTCCTTTTTAAAGCCCAGAGGTTTCAAAACCCCTTGGCTGCGACCTCCCGACAATGGGCCGTCGTCTCAAGATCATGAATCACTGTCACCCCTAGATCATTATGAGACCGGACTACGGGTAATGACACATCCCCTATGTTGTATGTATTAACCTTTGAATCCCCCAAGTACATGTAGACACACTTTGCCGAGTTGATAGGTATCAGCCACTCTTTAGACCAGTTTATCATATTATTTAAGTCTGCCTGAAGAGTAAATGCGTCTTTGTCTCTAGCTATTACTCGCCAAATTTTTAAATCGTCAACGTATAATAACATTGGAGACTGTACTATACTTGTAAGATCATTAACGTACATAAAAAGAAACCTTGGGGTACTCCACTAAGTACTGGTCTCCAGATGGAGCACTTTGAATTTCTTCTCACTTTTTGTCTACGACCTGTTAGGAAATCTTTTATCCATTTTAAAAGAGGTCCGGCAATACCAAGGTTTTTCAACTTCAATAGCAGTCTATTAGTAGGCACCTTGTCAAAAGCCTTACTGAAATCTATGTAGACAACATCCACTGAGTTTCCGTTGTCTAGCGCATTAATCCCGAACTCCCTTGCTTTAAGGAGGTTTGTTGTACAGGGTAGACCCTTTCTAAAACCATGTTGTGCCATGTTCAGCAAGTTGTTGGTTTCCATAAATGCCATTATGGTCCGTTTGACTATTCCTTCCAATATTTCAACTACAACACTGGTGAGGCTTACAGGTCTGTAATTCAATGGAAGTTGTCCTGTTCTTGTTTTATGTATGGGAGTGACGATTGAGTCCTTCTAGTTCATAGGTAACACACATTGGTCATGTGGCATATTGAATATCACAGACAGTGGGGCCTCGATATATTGTGCAATATGTCTCAAGATTTTGGGGTGTAGTTCATCTGGTCCTGTTGACTTCTCCATGTTTAGGGTGCTACGAGTCTTAAGCACATCGTTTTTGTCGAAGTCCACGGTGAGCAGCTGGTTTGTTGACTCTATATTTGGGTCCAGTTCTTTCTCTAGAGGAGGTTCCTGAGTGAAAACTGCCCCAAAATACTCAGCTATAGCCTCTGCTTTTTCCTGATCTTCCTCTATCATTTCAGATTGCTGCATTTCATATTTTCTTTGAGCTTCCCGAATTTTTGTTATACACTCGTTTCTTATTGATCTGTAGCGTTCCATCGTACCTGCTGTGCCTAAGCGGATGGCGACATCCCGGCATTTCTTCTTTTGTCTTGGTAAGCGTCGAATATCCCGCCCTATCCAGGGTTGTCCGTGCTTTTTTTCTTTGAGACAGTCCATGGTACGTATGGTTGAGTTACCTTACTGTATAACTGTCTGAATAGAGTCCATGCCTCTTGTACTGATGCCTTTGAGTCAATTTCCCAGTTCTCAGCCGATGTTTCAGAGTTAATTGTCTGCATATCTGCCTTCCATATGTTAGGACGGGCCGGCGCAACTGTTTGACAGGCAATCTCAGCCATGATTTTGAATAAGATGACTGCACGGTCACTTCTCCAAAGTGGTGGGAGAAAAGGCATTTGACAAACGTCATCACCGTGTGTGAAGACTAAATCTAAAAGAGAAGAAGAGTTTCTTACGTTCTTAGTCCTTAAGAAAATGCTAAGTTTCCTTTTACAGGGCTCACAAGAAGTGTTTTGGACGAGATCAGTCTACAGCAAATTCTAGCATTTGCCTATAATTCGTTCTGTCATGTTTGCCTCCTGCTTTTGGTTTTTTTCCCTGAGGTTTATGATGGCACTGGGCTTAAGTAAATATTTAAAAGGATATCCAGAAGTGTTTAAGATGATATAGGTCATTAAAAGGTCACATTTCTGATGCGAACTAAAACAGTATGCTTAAACCACGGAAAGGTACATCATCCAAGCAAATCTAAAGCCTTCTATGGAGAGCTGCGTCAACACTAGTTGAAGCAGAAATAGATTTTTTTATACGACACAGCATGATTTTCAAATCTGATAACCATTAAAAAAACGTCAAAACAACTTCCTTGCTAATGTCTGACAACGATGTCTGGTTTTGGGGATTCCTCGTGTCGGGGACGTTAGATCCCCAGAACTCACTTTGCAAGGGACCTAATGTTTTAATTTTATTTAGAAAATTTAAGTTTCTTTAAATCGCGCCAAAGGCGCTTTTGTCACCGTCATGTTGTATTTCCCACTGGGAAGTATCTTAAATGCCATTGATCCGTTGCGTCTTTTAGTATGCTATTTGGTAACTCTGCCCAACGACGGTTTTGTACTGTATATATACTTTTTGAATTGGGTTTGTTGTTATCCCTCGTTTCTGGCCGTTTGCAGAATATACTTCCCCATTCTAAGCTTGGACTTCTCCCTCTAGTCAGCGGGACGGGGACGCATCAATAGCTAGCTTACTGGACTTTGGTCACTGAGTCTTGTTTCTTGTTCTCAGATTAAGTGAACTCGTGATAGCTTCAACCCTAGCACCTCGCCAGCTGTACTTCTTATTGATCGTATTGGGCCATTTAAATGTCTCTGAGTTCTAGCCAAATCATCCCGCAGTTGAATCACTGAAGAGCGAACAGCTCGTCGATTTTCGACAAGTTCAAGGATAACCAATGCGCATCAGTTAACCGTATGCCATCAAGTGGCCCATGCGGTGGTGGTCTCACTATCTTCTCTGTACTCGTTCTTACTAATATATTACTGTAACAACGTCGATTGTGTTATACAGTCTTCAAAACGGCCATAGTACCTTGATACGACAAAGAGGTAGTCAACTTTAGGTGATGACCGTGTAGATAACCAATGATTGTAGGCCTACTCGAGTTGGACGGGAATGGTGTGACGAACCAGCTAACGTCGAAGTCACACCTTGTGTTCAGCACCTTACGTGGACTACCGAATTGCCATATCAAGGCACTATAGATCCTTTGAAGACTACACAACACAGAAGACGTTATTACAGTATTATATTGTTTAAAGTAGATACAAGTGAAAGTAAGACCACTGCCACATGGGTCAGTCCATAACATATGATAAACGCGTTGGTTGTCCTTGACCTTGACGTGGATCGATGATGTGTTCGATAATCAATGACCCAACTGCAGGATGATTTGGCCACGGCTTAGTTGAATTTTACTGGCCCTGCAACCGAGAAATGTTGCTTCGAAGTTAGCTTTTGATTAGATCATTCCGGTCTAACTCGAGCAGTCCCCTAGTCATCTAAGTTAGTGATCAGTCATTTACTTGTCTTATTACTTTGGTCATATCAAAAATATCCTTAGTCACTCTGCACAAATGGCGATAACTGCTATTCAATAATTCACAGTCGGCAAACTCCAAAAGCTTCACATAATCAGTGTATAATTAACACGTACAATTCATCCATATATTTAGATTTAAACAGTCTTCAACTCGTGACACTCATACGTGATCAATCTTAAATCTTTGACAGACTTCAGTGACCTAGTTACTTTTATCCTCCTAGTAACTCTATTTTCCCCACAAAAGATTGTAACACATAACACATACGCCTTTTATGTTCTCTTGTATGCTTGTCTGCAAGTTTGTGTACTTGATATTATATCCGGTTTTGTCTTGTTGTTGCACAGTTAACATGCACAATGATTGATTTTTGAACAGACTCACTCATGTTATCCACTTCTCATCTCTTTATCTGTCTGCCCAAATGAATGTAATAAAAGTAAACATTCAAAATAATTGTACTCGAAATTTTATATCCCTGTGGTTGTTTACAAGATTTATATACTGAAAGTAACGCCTAGGCATCTAACAAGGTCGATCACATATCCTTCCAACGACACTGACCACTCTGATCTTTGTGATGGACGTTAAGTTATGAATATTGTCTCTGCATTCACTGTTCTGTTCTTCTTTTATC